CCTTCTTTTGTGGTTTGTTTGTTTTTTAAACAGGGTGTCAGTACTTGGTCAAGGCCAGCCTTGAACTTGGTGATCCTCTTGCCTCTGCCCCCCTCCTATATGCTGAGACTATAGCCATATGCCAGTGCACCCTGACTACAGATCGTTTTGATTGACTATTATGCTAGTTAGTTTTTATTGACAGCTTGCCACAACCTAGAATCACTTAAGAAACTCAATTGAAGAACTGCCTTGATCAGATTGGCCTGCAGGACATTGTCTTGTTTGACAATTGATGTAGGTAGGCCAAGACCATAGGTGGCAGCACCATTTCCTGAACAAAATGGTCCTCAACTGTAAAAGCATGAATCTGTGAGAAAGCAAGTAGCATTTCACTGTGGTTCCTGCCTCCAGGTTCCTGTTTTGAGTTCCTGCCTTCAATTCCATTAGTGACAGATTGTGACCAAGACATTTTAAGGCAAATAATCCTTTCCTCCTCTAAGTTGCTTTTTGGTCGTGTTGTTTTCCCACAGCAAAAGAATAAAAATGTGATAAATACCAACACTATACAGTAATTTTGATGTATCAGATAAATAGCTTACAGATATTAAAAGAAACTTTTTCTTTAATTATCTATTATTATAGTTTGGCTATTAGTTATCTCCCTCAAAGCCGCATGTTGAAGGCTTAGTCCCCAACAGGCACTATTAGGAGTTGGTGGCACCTGTAGAAAGTATGACATGATGAAAGGATGTTGGCATTGACCACACCCTTGAAGAAGCTATTGGTACCTCAAAAACGCATCTTCTTCCCCTTCTCGGCTTTTTTTGAAGTACACAGCTTTATTCTATCACAGGCAAGCCCAAAAGATAGAGTCCAATGACCATGAACCGAAACCATAAACCAAACTAAATGTTATTTTTAAGGAAAACTAACACATCTAAAAAGACTTAAGAATCACAGAAGGCACTTTTCCCTTTTGAATTAGATCACTAATGTTCTTTTCATCTCCAAACTTAGCTATCTGCATACTTGTGTTTTGCTCAGTCTTACAGGTGTCTAAAGCAAGATAGTATTTGTCACATTGTGTGTACCCCACAGATAGCAGATGAATAAATGTTGTTGTCTATGCTTCTTGCACCTAGAAAATGCTTAGGATCTATGTCAGATAAACTGGAGATGAGTGATGAACATGATACAAACAAGAGATTTGAGATTTGTGGTTCAGTTGACTATTACTACAATCTTAGGAGTTTCAGCCTGGGGGAGAAGTTAATTAGCAGCATTACAATGACGTTTAGCTGAAGCTTCCTGTCTTCTCGTAAAGACGAATCATAGGTGAAAAGGGAAATCAGAGACAATTTATGGTGTGAGATCACTGCAGGCATTTGGCCATTAGCTCCACCTCCTAGCCATTAAAACATCATCTTCATAGGTTAACATAAATGTCAGGGTATCATCCTGCCCTACCTTTTCTCTTTCCTTGTGACATTTCTTCTTCTTCTTCTTCTTCTTCTTCTTCTTCTTCTTCTTCTTCTTCTTCTTCTTCTTCTTCTTCTTCCCCCCCCTCTCCTATGTCTGTGTTTGTTTTGTTTTTTCTTATTTTTTGTAGGGACTACAGAGGTCTTTCTGCTCATAGATAAGCATTAGGGAAAACAGGAAAGGTATACGTGCTCCAAGGGGAAAGATATATATCCTGGTTTTCACCCAGAAGGCTGGGCATGGATGTGTTTAATAGCCTGGTGACCTCTGTGCTATCTGTATGACTAGGCTACACTGGGCTCCCTGAGACTTTTGTTTATCTTAGTCATCCTATCCAGACACTTATCTTGAACCTTGTTTCTCAGTCAATCTATAGAACCCAACTTTATGGGATTTGTCCCATGTACTTTACAAATGGGAGCAGAGGTGGTTTATAGCCTGGTGACCTTTGTGCTATCTATATGAGTGGGACTATGCCGTCTCCTCCCCAGACCCTTACTTACGATGTCACATGTAGTCAATCTATGGAACCCATCTCTATGGAAGAGGTCACATATACTTGACAAAGATTTTCAATGTAATCATGTCTTAAGCTATGTTGTACACATGAAATTGAGTTAATTATCACCAGGAAACTTACCCCTAAATTGTGCTGTACTTAACATGTCCCTAAAATAAGCATGTGCCTGGTGTCAAGCTCTCAAAGTTTGAAGCAACAACAGCATCTGAAGTTTGTTGAACCAGACTTCCATCTTGTATCACATGAGGCATTACTTTGCTGGCCTTGGTGTTTGCAGAGACCCCTGTAACGTTTTATCATTTGACCTTTTCCTACATTGTATTCAAAGACATTCTCCTCTCTCTTTTAATCTTTCTCTACCCCTCTCTTATCTTCCTTCTGGTATTCTTTCCTCTCCATTTGCTCTTTTTGTATCCCCCTCCTTTTGATTCGTTAGCCACCTTTTATTCCCTCTCCCTGATATTTACTTTCATCCTCTTAGCTCATCTGGTCTTTTTGGTCATCTGTTTATGTCTGTACCTCTCTGTATCTCTCTCTAGTATTTTCTTCTATTACTTTTGTTTGAGCATTTCCAGTTACTTTATATCCCTACTTCTTTACCACCCTCTCTTTCCAAGCTTTTTTTTCCCCTGGATGGCTCTCCAGTTGTCACTGTCTACTTTTATTTAAGGGTTTACATAAGAGCAAATATTTTATATACTTTTCTATTTGTTTTCTGTCCCTGCCATGCATTCTTCATGTTATCTTTTTGTATTGCTTCTTTCTTCTCTCCCATTTTTTATTCTTTATCTTATAAGTCTCTCAATGGAGCAATTTTCATATCTTCCTTTTTCTTTCTAATGCATTCCTTTCTTCATTCGCACCTGTATTTACATGTAACACACACAAACACCACCACCACCAGGACCACCAGCGGCAGCAACACTTCTCCTCTAGCCTGCTTTCTAACTCACTTTCCACTGTTATTTAGATTCCCATCCGTCCTGTGGACTGTCACACTCATGTGTACACAGGATTCAGGATGTAAGGAGAGGAGGAATACACAGAAAAAGATGAAGTTTGGGTTTGCAGTTTATAACTCTGGTTTTCCCAGTGAATCTTCTGATCTTGTGAAACTAACGAACAGCCTGGATTGAGGCCTACAAGTTCAGTGGTGAACACCGTGAAATCAAAAAGGGATTGACTATCTATGCCTTTTAATGTATGAAAAATTAGGTTTGAAAGCAAAGGAGGATTTTCATGAAGCTGATGGAATAAGATATCCGGGTGCGAGCACTAGAGGAGACACATAGAAAGACGGGATTTGGATATAGAGAAAAGTAATAGAAATCTGCATGCCCTCATTCAGTCAACAGCTCACCCAGCTTCCATTGGGAACTCATTCCTTCTTCCTTAGAATCCCCTGCAGAGGTTTATTTCCCTGCTATAGACCTTACCAACCTCAGACTAACATTTGAACTATTTGTGTATAAATCAGCTCCTCTAGACTAAATACACCAGGGCAGGAGGAAGACATTTCCTCTATTGCTTTTCTAGGACAATATCTAGCTCAAAGTTCCATTTCCATAAGTGAGACGATGGAATTTGCATAGTTCAGTTAAGTCTTTTTACATTATCTTGGTTATAAGAATATATATTTAAAAAACCTCATAAAATACTGGCCCAGATAAGTTCACCTCACCCTTCTACTCTGAAAACACAAAGCCAGAGTAGCTATACATGAATACTTCCACAGAAGATCCATTTTTCAAAGATAATGGAAGTGTGAAAGTTGCTATAACAGGTAACCTATATCAAACATCATCCAAGCAGTCTTGTTAAGGAGCAAAGGACCCTGCTATGGGGGCACTGAACAGAATACACATTGATTTGATTTCCTAGGACAACCTGAAAAACAAAATGCTTTGAAACTGCAGGGACTGGAAACCTGAGCACTATTTATCAAGCACTGCTAAGTATCATTTCCTGTCCAGTTGAATTTAGTTCTTCACTCCTTCTACCTCCACTAATAGACATGCCTATTTCATAGCAAATATCAAAACTCACAACCACATCAAATATTCTAACTGAAAGTCTGACCCTTCCTCTCTAGGCAAGTAATAATGTATTGCAAAATATATGAGATTTGCAAATTTTTTGATCTCCTGTAGATCTCACTTTATGTAGGAAAGTTTTTCCTCCTGATATAAAATTTGGAATTGATCCCTTTGGCTGACCTAGTATATAGCACTATTAAATGAGAAGTACAGAATCTCCAAAGTGAAAACTCATTTATTTCCCTTCTTTTATTTCATATCTCTCTGTTTTTCTTGTGCTTCATTGTTGGCATATTATAATTAATTATGGATAATTCTGTTTCATCATGACATTCCAGGCATATACATAATGTATTTTGATCATACTTACTACTTCCATCCTTTGTGTTGAGTGTATAAGGGGGGGGGGCATACAAATGTGGAGACACGGAATATCTTTCTCCATTCCTCTCCATCTAAATTTTTCACGATACTTTTTCTTAATGAACCTTAAGCTAGTTTCTGTTAGATTGGCTGCCATTGAACCCCTGGAATCTGCCTGTTTCTGCCTCTCTCGACCAATGCTGTGGTTATGTTCAGTCACCACACCCAGTATTCTGTGAGTGCTAACTCAATTGGTCTTCATGATTGAACAACAAGCACTTTATCTCCTGAGCCACCCTCCCAGGCCCTTCTTTCTATACCAGCACAATCAGCAGTCCCTTGCTATCGTACATCACGTATTGTATATGTGGGGGAGGGGGGGTGACTCACATCCCATAAGTGATCTACAATGTTTGGCAGGCACAAGGTACATGTTACTCTTGCTCTTCTTCTTGTTCTTCTTTCCTTTCTGAGCTCCACTCTACAGCCAATAAAACCACTCACCAAATATTTCAAACTTGCTAATCTTTCAGCTAGAGTTCCACTATGCTAGATGAAGACTTAGATGTCCCTTGTGTAATTTTATGCTGTGAGTCATTCAAGTAAAGATACAATTCATATACTTTAAAAATACGTATCACTTTTATTATTTTTCATGTGATGTAAAATATCTACAGTAAAATAAAATTTTACTATCTCAGACAGCAACAAGATGTCTGATACACACCTGAAATGATGGATTCAGGGACAACACTGCCACCTGCGGCGCAATGCCAGCAAATACTTGACAACCTTACTCCATACTTCCTTCATTACAATGTTACAGCACAACCATTTCCAGCATCCCTCTTATCATCATCCTTTTGTTAAAAAATCTACTCCTCATCGCGCTTTAACTTCAACAATCACATTCAAGCCAGCTACAGTAATGCAAACCCAGGGAAATGAAGGAAAATATGCATTTCTCCACATGTTCACTCTCCTCCCCACTGCTACGGGCTGCTGCCTTTCCAATTCAGACCCTGTGTGGCCAATTTGGGAAACATGTCCACCCAGTGTTCACACCCCTTACGTTTTAACCTGGTGTCTCCCATAGAAATCAATGCCTTCGAGGCAACCTTCAAGTGTTGCTGCTCCCAGGACAACCTGCCCTTGTTCTCTAATTCACGGAAGGCGTTGGCCCAAGTGTAAAGCTAGGTAAAAGAAAGTTGGAGCCTGAGCTAGCCCCTCCCCACTCCAGGGAACTACTTTGGAATAAAGCTTCCAGACTTTCTATTCACATTCAGAATGCTAGCAGATCTGCTGCTTATGTCGTGGTAGGGCACGGAGCAGCAACAAAAATACAGTGTCTATCTGCAACTGTTAGCATTTAATCACAGAAGCTTTTGTTTGGGTTTAACTGACTTGCTTTCTGACAAGGAAAAAAAGGTATTTAAATTCAATGATGGTGAAATCTTACTTTTAAAATAACAAACTAAAGCAGTGTCATTTATAGCAAGTAGATTGAAATTTAAAATTTTCCTGTGTTTCCTTATTTAATTTCTAGACTGCAATAGAAGAAAGACTTTAAAAAAAAAAAAAAACGTGGTTTATATAACAAAAATCTGAAGGACAAAGTACCACATCATTTCAAACATTGCACTTCACAGGTGACACCTGCCAGCTGGTGATAGGGGCGTGAGCATAATTACAAGGAAAGGGGCATTATAAGCACAGAAAACAGACATTAGACGTTCTTCTGGATTTTCTTAACTGAAGGACATGAGTGAGCTCTGATGTCATTATGTTTAGAAATGGCTTCATCCAGATCCAACTGCACCCCGTTGATGTTCACTTCCATGCAGCCACTGTAGAAGGCATTCACTGGCGTGGCACTGAAGGAAAGATCTGCCAAAGCAATGTCTGACGATTAGTCTACCACTTCAGCACCTTATTTGTTTACAGTTAGAAGAATTAACCAGACTCTACAATTCCAAACAAATTCTAACCCCACAGAAAAAATTACTAAGGGGATTCCATTCAGCAAATACATGTTATGCTGGGTGTAGAGTTCAGCATATCATGAAATAAACACAATTATTTCTACCCAAACTGAAGGAAAATGTGCACACAAAGAGCATAAGCTTATTCCACATTTACTAGAAAATAATCTACATGTTTCTCTTTAAATTTGAGCGGCATTTTCAGTACCATTAGATCATCTCTTCTACTCTAAATTGTGGTGTCTTAGAAATCCTTTTGAAATGTCATGACAAACATGATGTTTTATTAATTTCTGGAACAAAAACATTTTTATTTTTCCCAAGAAATCATTTCTGGCTGAGCATAAAAGCAAGTCCTAATAAAAGACTGACTTTTATGTGATAATGCTGTCCTACCAAATAGCGTTTTGAATTGTTCCTCAGTGAGTCATTTAAGGTCATTAGTGCCTCTGGGCTTTGCTGCACTTTCCTCTCATTACCAAGTGTGTCCTCAATGCTCACGGAGCATCCTTGGTTTCCTAAGAACTGTAGTCCAAGACACCCACCTCCTTTCTCTCATTTGGCATTTCTCCTTCACGGATTTGAATTCATAGTGTACATTCATGAGCTCTTGATCTTTCTTCTCAAAACACATTATGACAAAAATAGATACTTCAGTATTTCTGCCTTCAGGTTTGCAACACAATGATAGAATCTCTACCAATGAGCTAACTGCATCTTTTAAGAATCCTCTTGGAGTCTGGCTGACAGCACTGATTATGCATTATTTTAACCACAGTGCCATCACTGACTATGATACCAATTTACCCCAGGATATATATAACGATATGCTAATTATAAACAGAAAATAGTTCTTTAAAATATCAATTTCCTCTTAATTTTCATTCACCAGAAGGAATTTAAACATGATTAATTTGTATATAAACAATCTATTCATTTCATAGTTTATGCTCTTAAATATTTCAATTTTAGTCTCCTCTCATTTTTCCTCACTTTTTATTTAAAATCAATGACATTTAGCATTATTGTAAATTTTGTATTTTTACATATTTTAAATGAATTCATTATTTGCTTGATTTCCTAAAATTGCATTCAACTACTCTGTAAGTCTCAATACAGAGTTCATTGGTTCATCCAATTTAACTGCAGTCATGCTGTTTAATAACTAACTAAGTTGATGACTTGAATTCAATGTACCTCTTCTGCCTATAACCATTGGAACCCATTTCCTTCCATTTCCCAAAATGTCAGAGAGGTATTTTTTGTCTTTTGTGTATACTGTAAAGACATATCTCTGGCAAAGGCACTTTCTGATTGGTTTAATAAAGAGCTGAATGGCCAATAAATAGCTAGGCAGGAAGAGGTTAGGCAGGGTTTCCAGGTAGAGAAAGGAAGAGAAGGAATCTAGGTATGCAGGTGACATTGAAGAGGTCAGACACAGGGTACAGAGTAGAGGTAACCAAGCTATGTGGCAGGATGTAGATTAATAAAAGCAGGTTAATGTAAGTTAGAGGTGGAAGGGGAAGCTGCAATCAGAGTGTAAAATAAATAAACTTTTAAAAGAAAAGAAAAATAAAATCAAAGCACAATAAATTTAAATAAACTGAAATCTTATTCTGGATAAAGAAAATTTGAGTATTTTCAAATATATCTTCTCCAAAGTTAAAATAAACACTGTTTGGCTTTAAAGGATTTTTTTAAAAATGGTAAAGTCAATATCATAGATACAATATGAAGTTAAACAAGGACCTGAGTTTCCCCCAATTTTGCCCATTTTGAAAATGCAATCCTACCATGAAATTATTAGTATCAGATGCCTAAGAGTTATCCTTTTACCTACGTGTCTTGTAATCATGAAATTCTGATTTTATTTCTCTATCTTAACTGGATTCACTGCACGCAATTCTGCAATCATGGATGCTACCACCCCAGTCCAGCAGCTTCCTTATTGCCAAGTGACGATAATAGTTTCCACATCACTGAACATTAAAATGATTGATACATTTGATGACCCTGTATGGTCACTGTAGTATGATTACTGGCACTATTATTACTGTGTCCTCAGGCTACTCCATGGCCTCTGAACTTAAGTGAACTATACCTGCATTTGCTCCCCCAGCTCCTCTATTTGTTTGTCCAGAATTAAATTTTGAAATGTATATGCCTCTCCCTTTGTCTTAAACAGTGTAGTGACAACCAGGTCTTCTACAACAAAACCCTAAGCTAAGTCTATAAGTCACCCATTTGGCCATTTTATAGTCTCATCCTGCACCACCTCTTGGGTAAATTGCCATAGCCATATTTAAATATTCTCCTGTGCTCATACACTCACTCTACCTGTATACACTGCAGCACCCACTCCTGCCACCTAGTGAAATTCACTTAACTTAAATATCAAATCTATATTTCAGTCTCTTATTCAACAAGATTCTTCCTGCCTCCCACAACCAAGTCAGGTCCTTATTTTCATGTTTTAAACTTGATTTATAATTTTTCTTCATAGAATTTATGATAATTTTATTTATTTTTATATCTCCTTGATGAGTTGTTTAATGCCTCCTCAAATAAATTTTAAAGTCCTCCATTGCAGAAACCATTGCTTGCTTCCTGCTTATCTGAGTATATGGGGATTATTATTATTATTATTATTATTATTATTATTATCATCATCATGATCCTCTATATAACACATCCCAACAGCACTCCTCCCTCCACTCCTTCCAGCTTCCTCACTTCCCTCCAGATGTTCTTAATTGATGGATAAATGTAGAGTGAACAAATATTGGATAAGTGGTGAATAAGTTGAGTAAGTATTGAGGTTACAATATTATCATGAGAATGAAATGAAATGGCATATTCTTTCTGGTTTAGATTACCAAATGCAGCAAAAATCAATTGGTTTTACTTTACCATTAAAAATACACACGCCAATAAAATGTTAGTATAAGCCTCCAAAACAAGTGTAAAGGATATTGGAAATTTTGTCTTCTTTAAATGCTTTGTTTCTAAGATTCTATGTTTAAGATATTATCAATGATAGTGCAAGCCTTTAATACCAGCCCTCAGGAAGAAGGGGTAAGTGGATCTTTTAGTTCAAGGCCAGCCTGATCTACTTTGTGAACTCCAGAACAACCAGACCTATGTAAAGAGATCCTATCTCAATACAAACAAACAAACAAACAAAAACATCCCCAAAAGATTTTTGATTTAAAACATGCTTTTAGAACCAAAGAAAAAGTGAGGAAATACCTGGAATGCCACCCAGATAAGTGGCCACGTTTCCTTTCATTGCTTTGTCCAAGACTGCTAGTTGTCCTTGAATATCTTTAGAGTAGATGACATCTTTCTTCAGTGGGCTCCATAGCTCTAGGCCATGTCTGTTAACATTACATTTCAGTTGGGATTGCTGGTCAGAACACAGAGTTATGGCCTCCATTCGAGCCACCACTGAATTTTCAACAAATACCACAATATCCTAGAAAGCAGAACAAAGACTTCAGATAAACAAGCACTTTGGGTAAAGCCACTTAAGAACAGCTGAAAAAAATGATAAAGCCTCTAAATTTAAGTGTAAAATTGTTTACTAATTCTAACAATGGATTTTCAAACCAACTTCAGTTTTATAGGCTCAAGGTTTAATTGAGATGGAAATGTATAGCGGCCTCTGAAGACTCAGTTAAATCAGCTGAAGTATATCATCAAATACAGGAAATTCACCTAGTGTGCCTCAGTAATACTTATGTTTACAAGTCTCACTAATTTCAAAGTTACATATGAAAGGGGAGGGTACGCTTTGTGTGTCTGTATGTGTGTGTGTGTGGGGGGGGGGGGGGGGTGGTACTCAGAGTCCTTTAGTGCCCATCAAAGCAGAAAAGCTGATCTGTGCCTTCCAAGTAATCACACAGCCCAGGAACAGTGTGGGGAAAGAGGCCTGAGGAAGAGACCAGGCTTCATGAGCAATAGGTACAGTAGGTAGCTGAAGAGTCTCCAAAAAGGGGTGTTTTATTTTGCTGGAATCTTCAAAGTTTTCAACTTGCTGAGGGTGACCTCTGCTGCCAATTTATAGATGGAAAAGAGGAAATATAAAAAGTAAGGCAGAGAAAAGAAGAACAAAATGGGGACAGCTGCTATGATGTTTCTTAGATAGTAAATGTAGTCTGCATTGACACTCAGGTTCAGATGTGTATGGTGAGTGAAAAGTCTATACTTCCCAACTCTGGATTATTTGAGGAAGTCTTTAACTTTACAAATATCCACATCCTTAATTCATTAAAAGAGAAGGCCAAGTCAGGCATTTTGGTGCGTTCCTTTAATCCCAGCACTCAGGAGGCAGAAACAAGTCCATTTCTGGTAATTTGTGACCAGCCTGACATAGTGAGTTCTAAGCCAGCCAGGGCTAATAGGGAGAGAGCATGTGGGGGTAGGCTACCTCAACAGAAACTCATTTCAGATTGCACTCTAATTACCAAGATGAAGCCCATCTTTTGTTTATTACACTGCAAACAAAAATCCAATCTTGGCATAAACAAGCTGTTTGCAAAAACTTGTTGCTATGCACAGTGCAGCTCCTGGGAGGAAGTATTAACTATTAGCACTACCAGAAATTGGAATAGCAAGGATCTCCTGAGAAGTTTGTGTTTCTTTATATCTAAGACTTTCCTGTTCTTCATTCAAGAAGCCAAGGGAGGAAGTTCCAGTTTTCTCTTCTTTTCCTTATTTACTTACTCATGGGGTAAAAGATTTAAATTGCAAGATAAAACAGACAATTAAAACTATATAATACACAGCCAAGATTGCACTGTTATCACAAACTATAAAATACAGATATACAGACAAGTTCCCATAATACATCACAGATTCTGAATATGGGCAGATTTATTTGCACTCTGTGATGTCTCCAAGCAGCCTGAATGTGAGTCTTACACCCATGGCAGCCCACAAATGAGTCTACCAAGCCATAGTTCCAGACCCAATATCTTCTCCTTCCAGACCTTGGATATCAGTCAACAAGGCAGGGAAAAAAAAGAGAGGTTCATCTAGATTAGGTATAAGGTTACCTGAGAATTTTCAGAGCTGGAGCCCACCAAGGACAAGGCAAAGGGCACTTTGTCTCCAGAAACCAAGGCAAGCATAATTCCAGTGCCAGTGGATGGACGAATATTCAAGGTCACATTTATTTGCCAGCCCTCTGCATTGGTTACATTATCTATTTAAAATGATAAACAAAGCAGAACAGAAAGTATTCATTGCAATTATAATAGAGAATTACAATAGTAATTATCAATCATTACAATCTGATTAAAGATATATTCAAAGATAGTGTGTGAAGCAATAAAGACTTTAATGCCTTTTCTCAATGATATACATCATCAAAGCAAAACAGAACAGAGTTGTATTATTTTTTAAGGGCAAGTGAAGTCTCCTCATTCCCATTCTTCTAAGAGGAAAATTCTAGACTGTGGTATTACGGAACACTCCAAACTTCCTCTGTTTTCTCTTTATTCCTCTCATGAAAAATCACCAATGTTCAGACCTCAGAATGTTTAGACCTTACAGTACACATTTGGAAGGAAGTTCAACAGATTTACTGTATTCTTCCTGATATGAAACATTGGTATAAAAGCCATCAATGCCCGCTACCATTATTCACTCTGCAGCAATGGAAAGGGAAAATATGTTCTATGTATAGGGAGAGGTAGACAGTCTGCTAGCAGACAGATAGACACCTTGAAGTCCACAGTTAATTTTTAAATTAGGTTAGGGACTCTTGCTCTGTGATAGTCTTCCTTTAATACTTCCCATCTTTTAAATTGCTAAGCTAGTTATCGACCAAAGTGGAGGGCAGGCATTAGGAGGCATGTGTCTCTATCGTCACTTGGTTTTTCATAGCAGACAATAAATATTCACTAAATTTATCTTTTCAAAGTATAGTCATGCACTTGTAATTATAGTCAGGTCAATGATGGAGATATATATGACAAAGTTCTCCCAAGATTATGTCTCCTGGTGAAGTCATAGTTGGCTTACTTTACATAAGTCTATTCTATGATGTTCACCAAATGATGAAGTTGCCCAGTGACACAGTGATAGTTAGCTTTTATCAACAACTGGACATAACCTAGAATTAACTGGGAGAAAATTCTTAATGAGGGGTTGTCCACATTGAATTGGCCTTTGGGGATGTCTGTTAGGGGTGGTATCCTAATTAAGTCAATTGATGCAGAAAGAGAACCAGGCCACTACAGGTGGCAGCATTCCCTAGGCAGATGGTTCTAAATTTTATAAGAGTGGAAAAGTTGAGCTGAGCATAAACAAACAACTGAGCATGCACGCATTATTTTCTCTGTAGTCTTGAATATGGATGTGACTAGCTATTTCAAGTTCTTGCCACTGCAGTTTCCCCAGTATGACCAGGTACTATAAGCTGAAATAAGTCCCTTTCTCCTCTAAGATGTTTTTGAAAATGAAACCAGGACAGACACATTTTTCAGAACATAGTCACTCATTAAGGTTCATAAATTACTTAACATCAAGTACTTTTAAACATTAGTTGAAGTCTTCTTCATTTACTGTGAAGGGGTATATAACAAATTTATAAGCCACTTGGAGTCTTTGAAAGGGTAAAAATGAATGAAGAAATGTTTTTCTTTTGGCTAGATGTCCTTCTGTTTAGCTCCATATAATGAAACTACATATCCCATTATAACCTTTTTCTTTCTTTTTCTTTTTGGTTCATGTCAGCTTTGCTTATTTTTTACACTTTTTTATTAATTTATTTTTTATATTCCTATCCCAGTTACCCTTCCCTCTTCTCCTCCCACTCCCTCCATTCCCCCCTCCTCCCAACTGCTCCATGGAGAGAGTAAGGCTTCCCCTAGGAAGACTACTAAGTCTGTCCCATCATCTAGTTGAGGCACAAACAAGGCACCTCTACACGCACCACCACCCCACCGCTGTATGTAGGCTGAGCAAGGTATCTCTCCATGTAGAATGGGCTCCATTAAGTCAGTTTGTGCATTAGTGTTAGATATTGGGCCCATTGCCAGTAGCCTCATATATTGTCCCAGTCACACCATTGTCACCTATATTAAGGGAGTCTAGTTCAGTCTTATGCAGGTTCCCCATTTGTCAGACCTGAGTCGGTGATCTCTCACTTGCTTGGGTCAGCTGATTCTGTGGGTTTTCATTATAACTCTTACACAGAAAGAATATATAAAATTATTATTAAATAAAGCAAAGGATATTGAGTTCATACTAAAATGAATATTAACATATGTGGAAGTTATGTTATAACATTAAATATTAATTAATTATGAAGTAAGTCGCTTTCAAATTATCCACAAAATAACTTGAGAAAGTAATTTTTTAGCTCCAATATAACTTATTTTAATTTCCTTTTCTGGAAAATTTCCTTTAACAAATCAGGTTCTGGGAAGGGGCCCTCAGGGATCATTGCTGTTTTGCTTTTTTACTGTAAAACTAAACAAGGACATGAGCTGGAAGCCCGAGCTCAGAGACATTCCCAGAGTGACAATTATGACAGCTGCAAACATGTACTACTCCAGCAGATGAGCCAGGGATGAAACCTAGGAAGAACCTAACCCCCACACCCCCCATTCCAGGCATCAGCAAGTTTAAAGTACTATTCAAACTGGACTTGGAATATAGTTTGTCTAAAAAGTACAAGACTAATAACAAGAAAACTCAACTTAAATCATTATTAATACTAAAAATAATTAGAGTTTTTATTGGAAATATTCCTCCCAATGCTCTTCCCCCTATAAATTAAGCAAGATATTGGAGGATGGACAATTTGACTTCTAGTTGGAGGCTGGTGAGCTCTCCTTTATTGCCCTTTCTGCCTTAAACAAAAGGTCTGTCACTCCAGTAGCCAGCCAGACTAACCTAATGCTGGCACCAGCTATGTGAAACACTCCAGAGACACTGTGAGATAATTACACAATAACTGAAGCTAATTGCTCAGTTCTGGATGGATCAGCCTCTCAGCCAAGGCTGTTTTGCTATCACAGCCCTCACTGAACTCTAGATGACCCTATAATGATTTCCACTTAGATCAGAGCAGGGGCACTGACCCTGGTAGACTAGCAGAGGATGTTATAAGGCCAGCTCCAAAGAGACAACACCGTGATTTGTGGGAAGGCTCCTTCTGTGGCTATAAGAGAAGGCTATTTGGTGGGAAGGCTCCTACTGTGGCTATAAGAACAGGCTATTTGGCTCATTGTGCCTCTTCCCCTGGTGTTGAAACAGCAGGACTGACAAACGCTTCTCTGAAGTGGTCTTTTCTTGCCTGCTTCTACCAGTGTGGGCTGAGCTGGGAGCATGAATAAGGAAGCAGTACAAACAGCATCAAGGCAGCGAGGTAGCCCAGTGGAACTACAGTGGCACCAGGGACAACAGAAGAGTTGTCAGCAGGCTTAGGTGGCAAAGCAGCAAGGCGGCCAGGTGCTTGACAGTTGGAGAAGAAGCAGCTGAACAGTTAGAGAGTAGCCAGGGCAGGAACCAGCAGTGGCAGAAGCAGAGAGAGAGGTTGGAGACCTGAGATGAAGGTTAGAAAGCTGTAAAGAGCCAGAGAAGAGGCTCTGCAGGCCAGCATTATTGGAAGAGTTATCACAGTTGTCAAGCCTTTAGGGCCAAGGGGTCTCTAACTATAGAGACCCCTTGGAACTATAACATCAGGAACTATAACATCAGCTGCTGGGACATGTTGTGGAATTTCAACTTCCTGAACTGTGATTACAGAACTACAGGTCCTAGTTCTGAAAGACTACAGAAGACTTGTAACACTAAAGGGTTGCTATCTTGCTCCTGTGGCCTTCCCACTGCCACCGTTTATTACAGGCAAACACTAAAGGATGTACAGCTGGCAATGATCAAGACTGGAACTTTCATTGTCCACCCTTGATTTCTATGCCGGCAGAGCAAAGGTCTCAGCTGGTTGGTGGCTAACAGGGTCAGCTTTCTGAGTACCTGCCTTATCCTCAGTTAAAGCTTATCAGTGATCTGCCCACCGTGGAGACTGAACACTGGCCAGGCAGGTCCAGGCATTCTATATAAGTTTGAATTCCTTAATTTGCACAAAAGGACCTGAAAAGGGACTACAGACAAGAATCTTCCCTACATTGATGCACCTATCTCTTTGTTCAAAGGGCTGCTATCTGGCTCAGTGATGCTCATAACTGCATCTTCCATCCAGCTCAAGGAGATACCCTGGCAAAAAAAAAAAAAAAAGCAGTGCCTGCACCCCTCAGCATCTAGACTCCTGTCTACTGTTGCTGAACCCCAGAACCTGCCTAGGTCACACAAGTTGTTACCACTGATATATGGGAAGGTATTCAACTTAAGTAGAAACTAGAAAAATTATATTTAAAATGACAATATTTCAATTTGATCTATCAGATTAGAAAACTACCTTGAGCATGAATGTTTTGTGTTTAGTAAGAGTAGCAACTAATAATCTTCAGAGGAGAATGTAATCAGTCCTATATTAATTATGTATCTGCAGGATCTTTGATGGAGGAAATCTATTCTAAAATTCTCTAGTATACGCTTAACTACACAGAAGTGCAGGATGTACACTCAGGAATATTTACAGCCAGTTATCGAGAAAGGTGCACTCAGGCTTCCCTGTGAACCCAGTCAGATAAGAGTTTCTACTCTACTTACAAAAACAAAAGCTAACCTTAAGTAAACCAGCCCCCAGTCAAACAGAGCCAAACTGTATCAGCACATTGTCCAAAGGTATTAAAAAGCAGTATGTGAAGCTAGGTAATATATTTTAACAAGCAATTTATTTGGCTCACAGTTTTAGAAACTAGACATCTAAACAGCATGATGGCAAGTCTTGGAAGGCTTAGGGTAGATGATGGAACCAGTACAGAGGGGGAAATCTCAGGAGGGGAAATGAATCCATGGAATAAGATCCTTCGCAAGAGGTTTCCTCTTTATGAAACCCACCCTTCAACTACTAATTCAATAAATGTCTGCAATCTGCACTAAATAGGCCAATATACCCGTATCGATGTCAGTAATGGCTTGGCCAAGGACAAGTGTGTTTATTTCCAGACACAAGTATTATTCATTTCATTCTCTACTATTGCATGTAAGTAAGATGCCCACCTTAAACATTACAGAACCCATGGAGACACATGAGAAAACAACCTACAGTAAAGAAACAACATGACCAAGCTCACATGAACCACAGATGCTGCAACTTAAAATTAGTATTATGAGTATGCTGAAGCCTTGGGAGGAACTACACAACATAACATATAGGCAGTGACCTCAGCAGAGACAGAAATTTTAACACAGATTAGCAGAAATGATAGAAATCAAAACTAAGCTTTCTATGCACTGATTAGTGAACCCAAACAAACTGCAAAATCAGTGAATTTCATAACTGGTCAATTGACTCTACCCCCAGTAAACCAGGCTATATGCCAGAGAACTTTAAATTATAACAAACATATTTGCCAATCAGTATATTTTTCCTAAAATACCTGAAAATTTTTTTTAAATATTTAACCACACACAAAAGACAATGCCTGTCAAAACAGCTACTCACTCAGTGATGCTAACAGAATAAATTGTCGAAGTTTGTCAGTGCATGCATTTAGTGATTAGTGAGAAAAGAGAAATACAACAGGAGTCACTTACTGTAATCTATGCTGAACCGAGCAATTCCAGAACCAGGGTAGTAGGAGCCCTTCTCCACCATGAGGAAGCAATGCTTATTTTGTTTTCCTTGAATAATTTCCTTTGCACCTAAAGCTCCTTGTTTCATCAAGTTCCAGCCTCGTATACATCCATCCAGACGAGGGTTAATCTAGCATAATAAGATATAAATCAGAGTAGGAAGGATAAACAGCTTCAATTGGTTCTCAATATAGGTTGCATTTGGATGGAAAACCCACTCTTTGATAGCTTACTAAAATACATTTAATTAAATCTATTTTTTTTCTTTCTGGCTGATAGTACTTTTCAATAGAATGAAACTGTACCATCGTAGCCTCCAGTGGGGTCCTGATGGTATTTACATCCTGAGGTCCCACCTGCTTCTCCCACATAAGCAAGATTCAGTGGTAAATCCTCCCTATGCTTCCCAGATGGCCCTGGGCTCTAAGCTGCTGCCATTCTTAGTGTGCATTTACAGTGGAGGTTTATCTGTCAATGCAGATGCTTCAGGAACAAGAGGCTTGCACTCTTTCTGCCTCACAAAAGCAACCAGCCAGCTTCAAAGCACATGGTGGCCATTTTACAAACGGTTGATGCTTCTTGAATAATTTACTTTGCTATTAAAGTACTGTGATAGTTCATCAACTTCAAAATTTTGGAATATTTGTTTTGGCATGGTTTAATTAATCCGATTTAATATCACATAGAAATCTATTAAGAGTTAAAATAACTTTGAGTTGTGATGAGAGAAAGGCAGGTAAATTTAAAGTAGTAGATATTTAAGTTAGATCCACCAGATCTTCTGTCACAGCCATGGATTCAGTTGACTTTCTTTTCTTTCTTTTGTTTTGATTTTGGTTTTGGGATATTTTGGTTTTTCAAGACAAGGTTTCTCTGTGCAGCCCTGGCCATTCTGGAACTCTGTAGACCAGGCTGTCCTCAAACTCTACCTCTGCCTCCTGATGCTGATCAAGTGACATTTTGTAAACTCTTCAAAGATAGTGATTGCTTTCTTCAACTCTATTCAGTGGTTATATGACAAGTATTGTATTCAGAACATTGTATTCATCTGTTGTAACAAACATTTCTAGTAATACATTCCATCAACCTTCTGTGTTACCCTTAATACTCAAATTTGTGTCTTAAAATTTTGGGCATTAGATGTATGTTTTTGTACACTTAATGGCTGAGTGTAGAATACTACAATGTGAAAACTGAGCTGACAACTTGAGAACTTAACAAACCCACTGCTTAATGAACAATGCTACAATTTAAATGAACACAAAACCACAATGGTCATTTCCTTCTTTCCTTACTATAATTTCCTATGTTCAATACAAATTATTGCACCTGACGTGTTTAGCAAAATCACTACTATGGAGTGTCATGAAAACACAACTTTAAACCTGTTACAGACAAAGGAATTCACCCAAGATGAACGCCACACGCTGCATCATTACCGGTTTAATGAGTGCACTTTCCACTACCCGAGGTAATCCTGCAAAGTATATTTTGGTGTCCAGAAATCCATCTGTAGGTTTAAAGAGGCTCCCAAATTTATTTATATTCATCACAGCTTCTTTAGCTATTTTAATGCTAACACTGTCGTCTAATTCTTCCACGGATACCTACAATTAAAAACACAAAGCAAACGTCACTGCATGGCTATTTGAGAAGGTTGATTGAAAAATCATATTGTTCCATTAAATGATTTTTATAGCAATCAATTTCATAAAAAATTTAATTTGTTCAAACCCACTTGTAGAGCATAACTGTGACTAAAACCCATTCTAAGGTGATAGAACTTGATCTCAAAAGTACATCTTAAAGTTTAAAAACACTCACATTTTATCATTCAGTTATAATCTATACCTTTAATCCTTTTATGCCTGCCTTAGGGTTTCAATTGCTGTAGACACCATGACCACAGAAACTCTTATAAAGGTAAAACATTTAATTGAGGTGGCAGCTTACAGTTTCAGAGGTTTAGTCCATTATCATCATGGTGGGGAGCATGGCAGCATGCAGGCAGACATGGGGCTGGCTACACCTTCATCAGAAGTCAACATGACAAGCACTGTCCACTATACTGAGAGAAATTTGAGCAAAAGAGACCTCAAAGCCTGCCCCCACCGTAACACACTTCTTCCAACAAGGCCCCAGCTCCTAATAGCATGCCACTCTCTTTGGGTGCCATTTTCTTCCAAACCACCATAATGCCATAAATCAAAGATTCAAAAAGGAAGATGAGCCTTTTTACCAATGCATTATACATTATGCATACAGAATCAAAGTAAATTAAAGTAGTAAATTTATAATATTAGTTATAAGAAATCATCAATGCCCAACATTCTGTGCAGCACATACAAACTGTATTTTTTTCAAAATCTGAAATTGGTCCTTAAAAATCAAATGCTCAAAATTAAATTAAGAATTTTGAATGTAACTTTGGTTTTAAAAAATAGTTCAAAGCATGAATAAAAAGTCATCCCACACAATCGGAAGACGGTTGTTGCAATTGCTTCACATAAGACTGCCACACTCAGGAAGTGAAGGCTTACTAATCAATAACATAAAGCAAGCAATTGCATGTAAACACAGTAACATGTACAATTATTCCCATTCTCTTTGACTGGTATTGATTTCTTTGGAATGAATTACAAGTCACTTGAATCTTTACCTGTCATGCATCTCTGATATAAGCAACATTTCATTTTTGAAGTGTATAAACTACTTCTATATTTTCAAGATATAATTTTGCTTTTTTGTGTTTTAAAAAGTTTGACCATAATTCAAGACACATGCTTCTAATACATGTATCTGCACATGAGACCCCTATAAGCAAAAATTTACAGGCATAAGGCTGGGCTTACTTGTAACTCTGGTCATACACTGCTTTTATCATGAACATGTTACTAAAGTGGATACCAGTTAAAAACACTAATATGTTTGAACAAAGACTTACCATAAAAAATGTCCCGAGAATGTTTCCACTTTTCCACACCCCGGTATGAACACCCCAACCAAAGCTACAATCAACCCTGCTCTGGGTCACTGCAATGGTCGTGCAACCCATGCCCTACTCTCTATTGACTGGTTTCCAAAATGCCATCAGATTTTGATCAGAGGTATTTTTTAAAATGTTACTTACATTCCAGAACTTCTCAAAACTATCCAGGGACTTCCCACATAACATAACATCCAAGTCTTCACTGTTGTCCTCAAAGGCCTTTATCCAGACCACAATTCTGATTTCATTTTTTAACTATTTGTCTCTCCCAATCCAAGGCATCTACACTCATCTTTGTGCTGTTCATCAAACACACCAAACATCCTCCCCCATGAAACTTGGAACTCGCTGTTCACATTGCACAGAATCACTTTATAATCCCACCCACATTTTTCATGACTTGTTCTCTCAAGCCTCTGCTCAGATGGAACCTTGTCAAGTTCACCTCTTCAATTCCACATGCTCACTGACTGTGCGCACACTCAGGGCCATGCCTTGTCTTGCTTTCCTTTGTCTTCATAGCATCAATGAGCACCTGATATAATTTATCTGCAGTTTCCCACTCAGTGTTAGAATGTAAGCTTTGTGTGAGCAAAGACGGTTTCATTCATCATTGTAGCCTACCTGGTAGAATAAGGATTGGCAAATGTAGGGTTCAATAAATGTCTGTTGAATGAGTTACATTGCCAGTGTTGATTGGGATCATACAAAATAAGTGGCAAAATCACTCTAAGTATCATTATTTCCTTGAGTTTTAGCCACGGTAATTGTTTAATCACTTCACAGTCTATGTAGCTCTTATGAATCATAAAACAATTCTGGATCATGTGTCTTAAATTTAATCCCTTATTTTTAAAATATATTTTGAAAATTTAAAATTAAGGAAGTAGATGCCATCAAATAAATGTTCAGTTTATAGACTAATTTAAATGAACACGTTCAATTAAAATGACACACAAGCATGAGGGCCTGAGTTTGCATTCCTAACACACAGCCATTTACTATGATTTACACCAATAATCCCAGTGTTGGGGAGACAGAGACAGACAAATGTCTGGAATTTGCTGACCAGTTAGTCTTGCCAAATCAGTGAGTCCAGATGAGAGGCCCCATCTCAGAAAAATAAAGCGGAAAACAAGAGGAAGACACCAGACCTCAGACTAAGCACATAAACACAGGTGTGCTTATACACACCACACCACACACACACACACACACACACACACACACACACACACACACACACACACAATAAATCTTATAAAGGACAGTTTAAAGTAAAACATGAACATGACACGAAATACTTGTTTAACAACACTCATGAATACTGAACATAAAAATTGGAACTGAAGCTTCCTCCTATCATCTATATGCCTACCTCAAAGAGCCCAACATTTTAAGGTAGAGACTCTTGAAATCAGAATGCTGATAGAACCAATGACTCTCCCACACTTCTCCTCACTATAAACAAGGGGTAATCTTTTATCCAAGAAAAGTCATTGTTTAACTGAACTGATGAAAAAGATGACCTCAATTATTAGTAGAAAATAAATTTATAGTATTATAAGAAAATGTTAAAGTATTCTGGTTGTTAAATCTAAGTGAATGGTATTTGTTCAGAACTGGCTACTTATCTACCTACTTACATTTAAAATTAAATTAACTTTGTGGTGTGGTTAAGAGATGCATTCATTTCTCTAATTAAAAAAATACTTGCTGGGCAGTGGTGGCCCACTCCTTTGATCCCAGCACTCGGGAGGCAGAGGCAGGCAGATTTCTGGCTACACAGTGAAACCCTGTCTTGAAAAAAAACAAAACAACAACAATTTCTTTGATCAGGCATGTCTTTGTATTAATTTATGCCTGCTGATGAGTCCTGACCTAGAGGGGAGACCCAATATCCACCCAAAAACAGCTACTAAAATGAGTGAAAATTTGAAAACAGAGCAGTTAAAATAAGTAGCCAGAACAGTTTCTCAAGTTGCTATCAGGACGAACAATGTGTAGAACGCATTTCATGCTACCCTGGGTGACTGACCCAACATGATTTGGTTTGACAATCAGAGTATAATTTTACCAAAAGTGCATCAAAGTAAAGAGGTAATTCTGAAATCCCAACATACCATGTTCCATTTACCATTGTTAATAACATTGCCTCCGGTTGTGATTTGGGTTGAAAACTCATTCTTAAACTGAACTTCAATTTTTCCATCACGAAGTGCAATCAGGAGCCAATTTGAGTGATCAAGAGATTCTGCATACAGGATGATGCCCTCTGAATCATATGTCCGAAAATCAAATTCAGCTGAAAATCTAAACAAAGAGACACTCTTCAGAAAGTTCAATGTATGCCCCCCAAAACACAAACCTTGTACTGACAAACAGTACTGTATTGAAAGAAAAAAAAATCTGAGATTTAAGAATACTTTAAAAAATGATTTAAAAGAGCAGCATTAAATTTTTCATAGATTGTCTCTGGTTCCATATGTATTTCAAAACTTGGTTATCATAATTTCATGATTGTTCTAGGAGTCTTTTTCTCAATGAATCAGTACTTTGGTAATTTCTTGTATTCATGGTAGTGTTTTGCAGTTACCTTTTAGATATTAGAATTAGTGCATGTGTACAGATATTAGGTTTCCTGGAACCTTTTAATTACTCTAAATGTAAGAGTAAGGTGTGTGTGTGTGTGTGTGTGTGTGTGTGTGTGTGTGTGTGTGTGTGTGTGTGTGTGTGTGTGTTTACTGAATCCATTGTGTGTGTGTGTGTGTGTGTGTGTGTGTGTGTGTGTGTGTGTGTGTGTGTGTGTGTGTGTGTTTACTGAATCCATGAGTGATTAGTAAAAGATGTTAGAATGGCATACTTGGTTTATCTAGAAAAAGGCATCCGCTTCCTTGGATTTGACCTATTCCAGCAAAGGATCACTCACAGGGCTCCACAAGATAGCTTTCAGGTGATTAAAGATATAAGTAAACTTCCATGTAATCATTCAAAAGAAGCAGCATGACTCTACCTTACCTCAGGACAGGACTGTGAGCCGCAGAGCTGACCAAACATTGTGACCATGCAGAAACACTGCAGCTGCCCTGAGCACTTCACACAATATACCAAGTTCCTGTGAGACATGATTGGAGTACTGTGTGCCTTTGGTCCTAAGAACTATGCTACTGTGTCACTCAAGATCTCCACAGACAAAAAACATCACCAATTCATCAGGAAGGAAAATCTTATGGATGCTGGGTGTTGACTGAGTGCCTGCTCTTAGAATGTGTTAGTAGGTACCAGCGTGAAGATCCCCAACCAGCTAACAAAAATGTTTTTAAAACAAAGACAAATAAAAATTATTTACTTATATATTTATATATTTTTAATGGATGAGTGCTGTCCACGTTTATACTGGCATGCCAGAAGAGGGCACCAGATCCACCATGTGGTAGCTGGGAATTGAACTCAGGACCTCTGGAAGAACAACCAGTGCTCTTAACCACTGACTGTTCTCTCCATCCAACCAGGACCTGTCCCTGATGTATGAGCTGACTCTTTGGAACCTGTTCCCTATGGTGGGATGCTTTGTTCAGCCATAATGCAAGGGGGAGGAGCTTGGTCCTGTATCAACTTGATATGCCATGCTTTGTTGACTCCCATGAGAGGCCTTACCCCACCTGAAGGGAGACTGATGAGGGTGGGGGTAAGGAGGGAGGTGGGGGAGGGAGGTGGGGGGAATGGGAGGAGAGAGGAGGGAGGGAAACTGTAGTTGGTATGTAAAATAAATTTCAAAAATGATGAATAAAAAAGAAAAGAAAAATCCAGAACATCAAATGCTATTAAAAAAAAAAAAAAGACAAACAGGAAAAAAGAAAAACAGTTGTATAACTACTTATATAAACTAGATAAAAGAATTTGAGTTGGAGTCAGGGCTTCTGATTGTTGCTAATAAGTCAACAAAGAATCCCATATAGATATCCCATCATTGCATATTAAGAGTCACAATGGCAGCATTTGTATGGGGGCAGACCTTCCTTGAAGAGAACAAGAAACAGGCAAAATAAATATTCCTGTATTTTCAATTTCCAAGTAAGTATTTGAAAGACATAAAATGTGGAGTGAACTGTGTTGAATGGATAACACTGTAATAGGAATGCACGGACCTGTTCATATTTAAAAAAGAAAAAAGAAAAAGAACCATTTCCCTTGGCAGAAGGACTTATGTCCTTCTTCACAATTGTCTGAGCATTTGGCTGATGTGAAGAACAAACTTTGTTGCCAAAAACTAAATCTGTGTTTGGTCACGATCTTCCAGGAGTTGATCCTATTATGGAGATAATTTCCTTTTCTTTGTAAAATAATGCTGAACTGTATTTCAAAGAGTCATGTTCTGCATATGTTCTTTCTGGAATACATCATCACATCCTGACTCATTACACTGGGGACCAATTTATTCTGTTTCAAAAGTATCGTAGAGTTGAAAAAAGACAGAATTTGTCAACATTTGGCAGGGCAGGGGAAGCAGTGGTTTATGGGAAACAGAGGTGAAGAGGTTGCTTTAAGAAAATCACTTTATAAATATTCATGAAGCTGTGCATTTAATATGGAATGTATACAAGATACTACACTTCTAAAAGTGCAAAGTAAATAAATCAGTGAAGAAACTAAGGAATACCAGAGAAATTGGTTTGCTAATTCTGATTCAAAGTTAGGTACCAGGTTGGAATGAGTTGTCATAAATAAATAATATGAAAGTATATAAAGATACTGCAACAGTTTTCTCCCCCATACTCATTGTTGTTATACTGAGGAAGGGTTTCCAATCTCATTCAGAAGAAAATAATATTTGTTCAGAGATGTTTGTAGTGAAAACCAGATATTGAGGGAAATGGAATGTCCAAACAACACACTCAATTAAATTAACTGAATCTTGGAATAACTTCAATGCTCTTTCATGGAAAGACTTCTATACATTCGTTCAATTAATTAGGGAATGATCTATGTCTAATTAAATTCTAAACATGCCTGATTATTTAATTGTCTATTTTGAAAGTTAGGTTCTAAACTTAACTTTAAGTAATTTTCCCTTCTCTTTATTACATCAACATTCTGATTTATTGCTTCTAGTTTTAACATGTATGCATTAAGAAAATTGGACAACTAAGAATGATGATTGAGAATCACAAACAAAAAACACTCAAGTCAATCTAAATACAGAAGCAAAAGCTGAGGTATTCAAATTGCCAAATTAAGTAATGATTTCTTTAGAATACTACTTGAGGCATCTTGTTAATTTTCCTTATTAGTTTTGAATGTAATAATACTCCATCAATACAGTGATATTTTCACTTAGTTTTTATAATGTATAAAAAATAGGGTTAAGTTTTCAAAAGTGGGTTAGATCTAATTTCCCAGTTTCTTGGAAAATATGTCATGACTGGGAAATGGAAAATGATGAGATAAAGTAACAAAGTCAGCCTCGGTGGATTTGAAAAGGCTCTAGTGTGAAAAAATACACGTGTGAAGATCACCTAAATGGTAATGTGCCTAAATTATCAGATTGATAAACCTACTGCTCTCCTCCTCTGTTTAACCTGTAGGAATTCCCAATGGCATCCATTCCTCACCTGGTAATTTCTGGCAAACGAAATTTCAGATATAAGACAACTCCTACAAACTGCTCAGCCAAGTACAATAATTCATAATTTTTGTCAAGGTTCAAGGGAAGGCACACTGGAATACCCTGGAGGAAAACAAGATGCATGGATTATTGTCTGCAGTTTGTCTTCTCTCTTTAGTTTCCAAAATAGCCTCTGAAATACCCTCACATCAGAATGTCTTTTCAAAGGATAATGAATATCTTCCATTTCCTTGCAAAAGCAATCCACAAAGCCTCCAAAATATGTGTGCTTGACTTTAGATTCTCTTTATTATTTCTCAATGCTAAACACAAACTTTTTCTTTAAGTCCCAGCAAATATGGCTTCAATAAACTGTACAATGCCTTGTATTAATTATATCTAAAAGCTATTCATTTGGTTAAGAAAAAAATATTGTGAATACTGACCACATAGGATGGAATAAACCTAAGTTAGCATCTCATTCTCTAAGAAATTTATATGCAAATGATTCAAAGTCATGTAATCTCCAATCAAGTATTTGTTCCTTAAAGATGAAAAGCAACATTAAAGTAGAAAGCTACCTAGAGATGGGATATTGGGTATAGTGAAGGCTATTTTGCCATGGATTCTACAGTTATTAAATAGAACCCCAGAAAATAATTCATAACTAATCCAAGGTGGATAGTAGTATGTACTACAGAACATACTGAAATAATAAGGGACTAAACTATAAAATAAGAAATTCTACTGCATGGCCTTTCAGTTGAGTAACCCCTGAATTACTATCTATAGCCACTAACCTCCTGATCTTCCTTCATGTGGGTAATGTGATTTATTATTTTTTTCCTAAGCATATACTGGTTCATATTGGTCATGAGTGTGTGTGTGTGTGTGTGTGTGTGTGTGTGTGTGTGTGCATGTATATGTACACACATACATATAGTTACGGTTATATACAGTGAAATCATTATTTAGGAATTTTAAACAGTCTGCCTCATAATCATATATAATTTTACCCTTACATCTTTTAAAACACAAGAATAGAAAGAATCACTAGCATGTATACCTTATTATTTCTAAAAGGAAAAAAGAAGAGGGAGGTAAGGGGTTCAAATATTGACTTATTTATTCAATAAAGGAAAAATTAAAACCATCCTACAAATTGATTTCTTGAGTCGATTATGCATTAAATCTGAGTGTGGAAACACGTGTTTGAGACACACTGATGAACATAATTGGTCTCTGAATTGTGGTACATTTAAAGTCACCAAATCTTCTTGAGACAAATTTGTTTCCATCAGGAAGTTTATGAACACTTATAAGCACAAACAGGCAGTGTGCAAACTTGCCAAAATGTAATACAGGACACCAGAGAATGTTGTCATTAAAATTTCTATGTAATATTCTCTTAGTGGGATTAGAGGACACTGAAGATAGACACCCTCTTCATAATCATCCCCTTGTAAAACCAAAGACTATAACTGCCAGGCTTTAATTACTGTTCAAAGAAATGAGACCTGAGTCCTCTCTGAGACTGGTAGGAGACAGAACCACAATGAATTGCAAAGGGGTCATTACTTGATAACTATCTAAACCTGATTCCAGGATCCCAACACTTCATAATGGACAACTACCTAGTTGGAGGCTTTCTGATAAAGAACAAAGGCACACCATTGCCTGGTGAAGTGACAATCAACCAAATGGGCCCACCAATGTCTGGTACTCAGGAAAGCTGTCTGTTCTGGAGATTTTTATAAGTCTTAAATAAACAAAAAGAAGAAGGCTAAACTACATATGAACACAACATATTGTCTAGCCATTGTTCACTCTCACCTGGTAAAAATGGTATTCTTTCTCATCCCTTGACAGCCATCAGGCTCTGTAGTGTTTTCTCTGGCCACTTATAACTCTCGCCCTTTGAGAGTATGTTTTCCTATTCTACAATAAACTCCCCTGTCTTTTACATTGTGTTCTGAATTTCAACTGAATTCTTTCAGTGAAGATTAATGCTCTTCAATGAAAGCCCAGGGAATGGGGATCCTGGGTCTCTCATTTCAGAAAAGAGATAAATTGTTTGCTGGGCGATGGTGTTGCAAGCCTTTAATCCCAGCACATGAGAGGCAGATTTCTATGAGTTTGAGGCCAGCCTGGTCTACAAAGAGAGGTCCCAGACAGGTTCCAAAGCTACAGAGAAACCCTGTCTCAAAATATCAAACCCTCCCCCCAAAAAAAGAAATTGTTTATTTTTTGTTTTCTTCTCATTTCTCTGTGTAGCCCTGGATGTTGTGGAACTCACTTGATAGACCAGGCTAGACTCAGAGATCCTCCTGCCTCTACCTCCTGGGTGCTGGGATTAAATACATGTTCCACCAGCCCAGCTTGATGAGAAGTTTTGAATTTCAAAGGTTACCTCACAACTCTTCTGATCTTGGGCAAGCTTGAATCCTTTCTTTCCATCACAGTAACAAGAGTAGCCTCCAGGGTAATTGACACACAATTGAGCACACATGTTCTCAGAGCATTCGTCCACATCTGACATGAAAAGAGAAGAACCTTCATAGCTTCTAAATGTCTAATCCAACAGGCACTCAGTAGTTACTCAGAAAACGCAACTGCTATGACAGCATATCCAAATAATTGACCTAGAAATTTCAGAGTTCTAAGTATAATTTTATGTATATATTCCAAATAATTTTATCATTTTCAATAATTAATAATAATAGTATTATTATGCCAATTTTCTGATTTTCAAGCTAAAGAAGAAAAGTGTTTAGGGTCTCCACTGTCATTTCTGTTTATAAGAATTTCATTATAATTGCCTTCCAATTCTTTATTTTGAAAATAAGCAAAAAAGGGGGGAGAAGAGAAGAAATTAGAAGAGGAAGAAGGACAAGGTGAAAACAAAAAAGAAAAGTTAGTGAGGGGGCAGGGACGCTGACTTTAACTAAGTGAAAGTTAATGCAATGGATAAACTGACAATAACAAAAACATCTGATTTTTTTATAATGATGCAATAATCAAAACTGGCCACATTCTCTTTTTATTTAAAAGAGATAAGAGACGGTTTATTCTGAAACCAAATAGGAGTAATACTGTCCCCGGACAGTATTCCAGATTCCAACATGGAAGCAGTCTTACGAAATTTTTATAGTAAGAGAACAATGAAATTCATGAATCAAGATACTTAGTAGATACATGGGTGAAAACATTAAGTAGATAAAGCAAAGTGGAGAAATCCCAGCTATAGGCATCAAATGTTATCTGATAAGTCTTAACCTTTTAAAAAAGATTCATGTTCTATTTGTATATATGCCTGCATGACAGAGGAGGGCATCAGATCCCATTATAGATGGTCCTAAGTCACTATGCAGTTTCTGGGAATTGAGGATCCCTAGAAGAGCAGCCAGTGCTCTTAATCTCTGAGCCATCTCGCCAGCCCAAACTTTTCTTTGTTTTGTTTTGGAGACCCAAGTGTCTCTGTGTAGCACTGGATGTCCTAGAACTTGCTCTGTAGACCAGGCTGGCCTCAAACACAGAGATTTGCCTGCCTCAGCCTCCCTAGGGCTGAAATTAAAGGTGCCCTCCACAGCCTGCCTCTTGTTTGTTGAAAACTAAGGTTTTGTGAAGCTCATGAATTTCAAAGAGTTTTTGTTTGTTTCTCACTGGATGTTTAGTATGACACTCTGATGCAAAGGTGGGCAAGAGAGACTACTTATAGGACTAAGATCCTGCAAGGTAAATTGTAATCAGCCTCTGAGCCTGCAACAATCAGATCCATTCATAATCATTGGAATTTTAACTAATCTACCAGCCTTTGTAGTTAGAGCTTCTTTGTAGCAATTCAGATCCACACAAGTATCTACCATGCATATCTAGACTGATTTATCTACCCATTCATTTGCTATCTGCTCCTGCTCAAGACCTTTGCCATTGTCCTCCAACTTTCAGATTCAGTGTCCTTCTATGTAACCGATTAGTGCATGGCTTCACACACTTATTTCCTCCGCCCGGTGATTATGCTTCCTTAGCTAGCCTTTCCCATATTCACATCTCTTCATCACTGAGACATTTTGAACAAGATACCTACCTCTACTTCTCTCAGTGAAGTACTCCATCTCCCAACACACTTAATGTCTTTTAGTTTACATTTTAGAGTCACTGTATTTTACTCTCACAAATTCATAATAAATATAACACATGTTAATATCTGTGTTGATTTTATCATGTGTCTGCAGCTGAAATTTCTAAGTGAAGAAAGTTTGTCTATTTCACTCATTATCTTGTTTCCACTGTAGTAAGCAATGTTGAATAAAGAATATTTGTAATGATCATGATGGGTGATATTAAGAAATTTCTGTCATAAATTTAATGACATATATTAATATTTTTCAAACCTTATTGTACTATTACCTGCCATAATTTGAAGTCTTTTAACTGATCTGTCCCCAACTCTCTACTTTGTAATAACATGCCTAGGCTAAAGATTCTTCCAGGACTACAGAAAGTCCTTGACATTTTATTGGATATACCCTATTATAAATTTATGAAGGTCTTATTAATACTATCATGTAATATATGCTCTTTTAAACACTTTAAAATATATTTCCAGAGTTAATGATACTTTAAATGCATTAAAATTGTATGATATAAGATTAAAATAAGATATATATATGGACTCAAATAAAACATTTAAAAATCTGTCCTTTAGCAAAGGAAACTACAATCTAGGTGATGAAAATGGCTAATAATAATGATGAGAGCAGATAGCAGAGGCTGCCTGCAGTTTAGGAATGAGGACTTTCATTCTCATCCTTGGCCAGAGGCTAGAAATGTCCATGGTTTTGCCATGGTGGAGGCCACAAATGCAAAGTGTTTGGCGCTTTAGTTTCCATCTGATTTTTTGCAATCTTGCTTCTCCTTTTACACAGCTGCCTAGAAGCTGTATCTGAAGATGTGACCAAAACAGCATTCTAGACACCTGGAATAGACATTAGTAAAAGCACAGAGCTAGATGGACAGCCCACCTCCCATTCCTCAACAGTTTCTGCTGTAAGTCCTACACTAAACCCCCCAAAGAGAAGTTCAGTGGTACCCCATTTCTGGAGCAGCAGCTGTCCCACAGAAGCTCTGCTGGTTTGCATTCTTCTTAAACACCTGTCTATGAGTCTTTCTAAAAACGTAACTTCTCTGTGGTCTGTGAGAGCCATCCTTTGAATTAACAAGACAGGAACCTGACTCATGGAAGTTCGTTGGCTATAATAACACCCTCACTCCTGTATTAAGACCACTTGAACTTAGGAAGCCTCTGTCATAATCAAGGACCCTGCTAATTCCTGTTTCAGTGTATCTGAGAATTGCTACGTCTCCCAATAATTGCAATGAGGGGTACTGGAGAGTAGAAATGGATGACGGTGTGGATAGGGTCAAATAAAACACCAACATTTCAGCAGTACACTGTAAATAATTAGAAACAAATCTATTATAAAATGACTATCTGGGCCAGGTGATGGTGGTGGTGGTGGCGGCGGCGGCGGCGGCGGCGGCGCACGCCTTTAATCCCAGCACTCTGGAGGCAGAGGCAGGTAGATCTCTGTGAGTTCGACACCAGCCTAATCTACAAGAGTTAGTTCCAGGACAGCCTCCAAAGCGACAGAGAAACCCTGTCTGGGGGGGGGGGGGAAATGACTATCTGCTCATATAAATTCAAATTCAAAGACAGAAAGGTTTGTTATAGTAACGGGGATTGCCTGTAATAAGGAAACCATTAAGAAAAAACTTGCTGTTGTCTGCTTGACAGTTTCCATTCGGGTGATGAAAAAGGCTGCAGAGGCTGCAGAGCTGTGTCACTGAGCTTCTGCTTAAAAAGCTTTATAAGCATATAGTATGTTCTATTATCATTGGTGTGTGATTACTTTTAGACATGATGTTAATTCAATTTGAAATTTTAAAACATTTAAAGGAATGTGAGATAATTCATATATAATGATTTGAAACCTCAGACAAAAGCAAACATAATGCATTGAAGCTAGCCGAGGCATCCATGCTGACACCATGGCAACCTTAGGAAGGAAGAGCAGGAGCATCCACAAGGGGTCTGGGCATCACAGATCACTAACCATCAGCTCTCTGGAGCTCCATTATGATGTCCATCATGGTAATAGATATCTCACTTCTCATTTTCTTTTTATTATTTATTTTATTTTGTATGTGTGTGTGCCTGAGTGCCATGGATGTGCAGGTGTTGGAGGAGGCCAGAAGAGAGTGTCAGATCCCCTAGAACTGGACTGACAGGTGGTTGTGAGTCACATGACATGACGTCTGGGAACTGAATCTGGAACCTTCTGCTAGAGCTGCAAAATGTCCCTAACTGCTGAGCCATCTCTCCAGTCCCAACTTCCTATTTTAAAATCACCAACATAGGCACAGAAAATGGCTAAAAAAATGTTTGGAATAAAACCTAAGGTTGATAAGAAGGCTCACGGTTTCAGTCCCATAATTAAAGCTTGTCATTTTTCTTTATATGAATTTTTCCTTTCAAATTAAAATTTTCTTTTAACGTTATTGAAAGGCTGTTAAAATGTCTTCATTTTGCTTTTATAACAAAGGAAGTCTCTAGGTTTTATGAAGTTTAATGGGTTAAATGGAATGAATAATATTAAGCCCAAAGAATACAGGTCTTCCTTGATACTTTTCTTCTATAAGGAAGCCAACAATTACAAATCAACCAACCTACATCAGAGATTAGCAAATAAATGCTTTTCCTAATATTACCTCAGGGTTCAAACCCATCCTCTCTACCATGCACTGATAGTGTCATCATTCTACCTTTGCAAGACTTCGATGAGGGATCATATCTGTAGCCGTCAGGACATTCACACTCATAGTCTCCTGGAGTGTTCTTGCACACAGCTGAGCCACAAACACTGGGCTTCATAGAGCATTCATCCACATCTGCAAATAAAATCACTGTTAAGATTTTTCCCAGTATCAAGTAAACACTTATTTGTTTCCTGAATCTAACACATATATGCATATATATATATATATATATATATATAGGCTACTCTATTGTATCTACTCTTGAAACAGCAAAACAATAAATCTATCACCATGCTTTAGTCCCCTAAATATGATTTTTATATGAATTCATGGGAAATTTCACTAATATTCCTTTACAAGAATTAAGAAGAATGGAGTTATTCATTTTCTTATCTACTAAGGAGAAGTATAAAAACACACAAAAGAAGAGGCTCAACTATATTCTTAATATTCTTTAAATGCACTTGTAAATTTATATTTCTGAAATTGGTTGTAAATGTAGATTCACTTAACTCCTCACTACAATTATTTAACAAATGAAAACTCATTTGTTTGGTATTTTTATTTAGAGGTAGACAAATATCTAGCTTTTTCCCATCTGTCCTACACTAATCAACAATGATTTACATTTAAGGTGGGGCCAATTAAAGTCTAAAAGTACTTCTAAAACTGCACTTACTCTAGTATCTTATAGTATTCGGTTAATATTTCTTACATTTCAGATGCATTAGCTGTATAACATGGTGTAGTAGGAAACAAAAGATTGCAAGGCAGTGGTAGGTGGCACTTTCAAGCAAATAGAAGCAAGTGAGACACAGTTCTGCATAGATGCAATTATTGCTCAGCTTTGTTCATAGAGGTCAATAGAGAAAGACAAAATTGAGTGGGAAATGCATTTCCAACTTTGAAAATTGGCAGTTTATCTGGGGAGATGAATAGATGAAAATTTAGACATTGTTCTGTCTCAAATAATGTGCTCCCAAATAATGGAATTAATCCCTCTGGCAAGAGAATGTCAAAGCCAGTGTTCAAAGTACGACATTATACAAGAATTATGTATATATGACTAATGAGGGAAAATATAAGTAACACCTAAAATCTCTAATATTCCTTACAACTTAATACAAATCCCCAGTCGATTGAAAAAAGTTAGGTATCAAAACACTTTTATAATAAAAAGTCCATGCTTTTAGAAGAAAATAAAAGCACATCACTTAATTACTTGGCTTTACACATAGTTGTAGGGAAATATACAGATCATATGAATTTAGGTGTGGCACATTGACATGGTGACTCTGTATCTACTTCTAATGCCAGCAAGGCTTTAGATTTTCATATTTAGTCAAAACTGCCAACCTGATTCCATGTATATCCTCACCATGGCCAAGGTCCTACTATAATGGTTTTCTACATATTTTCTGTAAGGTCTGAGCTTGCTGTATACCACAGATGAATTACTATACATAGAAAGAATGAAAGACACATGCTCTGGTCTTTGGAAACATTCTGTTGGTTGTTTGGTGGCAGTGGGAAACGCAACAAGGCTTGCACATGCTAAGCAAGCACTCTACCATATTCCCAGCAAAAACAGTTATTTTTCTAATTGTACATGCATGTATTAATTCAATGTGGATATGAAAAAAATCACGAAATTGGAAAAAGAAAAGATTACTCAAGTATTTAAGTGTTAAAATAGGAATGGGTACTATCTCTTTATATAAAGCATGTAGTACCCTGAATTATAATGGCTTCCCATAACTGCTGTTCGAATGATGCCCCTATTCCAATAGCCAAACTAAAACATTCAAATAGACAGATAATAAAGATATACAGTCATAAATTGGATAATGGCTTGGAAGAGGCTATTAGTAAATGCATTTCATTTTCAGCTTATTCCACGGGACTTTAAATTATACTGTAGTGACTACACAATAATGAATACTACCAAAAAGACAGAAAATTCCTTGAATGTGAATTTAGACTGGGGATTTTATAAGACAGAAGTAGAGGCTTACATAAAGAAACTTCACATTTAATCTACTGAATTTTTAAGCTCTTAGGAGGAAGAACAAAATCCTTCTTAAGGGTTTCTGCTTTGTAGCAAGATTTCACTGAAAGCTCAGAATTCTGTGTTCAGCTATCCATTCACCTAGCAGGAATATGTATAGATTTCATAGAGCAATTCAGCGTGTGCAAGGAGAAAAAAAGGAAAATGTTGGGAGACAAAAGAAATACATTGACAACATACAAAATCTAACCTGACAGATTATTTAAATCTTAAGGAAAAAATACTTAAGAGCCGTGGTGCAATAGTCAATGTGTAAAAAGAATGAAAAATGGAGATTCTTCATCTTTCTCAAAACCATAATTGGGCTATGGGGTGCAAAATAAAGGATTTATTTTGGAAATCAGAAATACATTTCTGAATAACAGATAAATATAATAGTAGGGTTATTAAGATTTATAGATTTCTTTGTGTATCTGCTATTCACCCTATGGGAAAAAATAGGATGGTAGCTGACCCTGAAAATGGAACAAACAACATTTTTTGAAAGGAATGTAGCACTGAATCCTCTCTTTGGAATGAAGTGCTTTAATCACCATATTTATCACTAAACAAATTCTGTAAATATGCACTTGTGCATGTGCACACACCAGAAGAATAATACTCTTATTGCTAATAAAATACTCTTGTTATTGCTAATATAAACTAAAACAGAGTTCAAAGGCACGCAAGGCTCCAAGACATGGTGGCACATTTAAAATAAGTACTTTCTGACCACATTGTCTTCCAGAAGTTTCCCAAGGAAATTCCTCTACCTGAACTTTGACCTCACCCAACAAATACATTTTTTATTCTGTTTCTGTGCTCTTACCTTTGCAGTCTTTTTTGTTTGAAAGCATAGCAAAGCCACTTCTGCAGGAGCAGTGGTAACTTCCAGGAGTGTTGTCACAAATCTGGCTGCAGCCCCCATTTACATTTAAGGGATCTTTACATTCATTTACATCTGCATTGGGAAAATAAAGCATTTTTAAAGAAATACCACCTTCAGATAATTTGTCATGTGGCCAACCCAGAAAAGTCAGCAGGCAAGGAATTTTCACACATACCAAACTGGCATTTGTCCCCTTGCCATCCTGGTTTGCAGATGCATGTGAAAGCAGCTTGGCCATCTTTGCAGCTCAGATACCCATCTTCATTGCATGGCATAGGATCACATTGGTCTGGGATGGCTAAAGGAAACAGACTTGCTTTTAACGTTTACCTTAGGCAAGAAAAGGAATCGCAGAAATGGAAAAATACAACTGCATGCCTATAATAATAAGGATAAGATGCATTTTTTCAAACAGTAGGCCTGGGGATGTAATTCGGTTGATAGAGTTTAGCTTTTCAGTTTAGCATTTGCAAAGCCCTGGTTTTGATGCCCAACACTGCATACACCTGATGTTGTAATCCCAACTCTCAGGAAGTGGAGAAAGAGAGATCACAAGTTTGAGGTCATCTATGCCTATATAACCATTTTAAGGCCAGGGAAGAAAATGTGAGACAGGCCTCACTATGTAGTTCTAGCTGTTTTGGAATTCACTATGTAGGCCAGGCTGGTCTTGAACTCAGAGAAGTCTGCCTCCCAAATGCTGGGATTAATTAAATGCATGCACTATGAAGATGGGCAAATACTTCACTTGACTTGAGCCTTACAACAGTTCTATGAGGAAGACAGACCAAGCAAACTATTCTCTGTGTGACGATAGAATTTGGCAATTCCAATGTGGATTAAGACAGAATTTTTAAAAGGGACCTTATTGCCCTAAATAAGTAGAATTCTTGTTAAAATACATCGAACACTGGAAAACTTGATGTTTAAGTGAGAAGAAATGAGTATAACAATCACACACTGGTCACTGTAGGTTCTGTATAGACTTCAGACAGAAAAAGCTGTTCGATACATTTTTATATTTATATTATTGATGTCCAAATGTTAAAAAGAACGAGCCTGGCTCTCCTCTGATAATTAGTAGTGATTACATAACTCCAACCAAAATGAAGATGCTACATACAACAATCCTGACAGCAGTAACTTGAAGCCTACTATCTCTTCTATCACTAACCACCCGTCAGCTGAAATGTTAGGGGGAAATTTCATTTCATGTAAGACCAATGCATTTATAACTAAAAAGTATGTTTGTATATGCAGTTCAAAAAACACATCTCTGCTGAGCGTAGCCTCCTTCGACAGTTCACTTACTGAATTTTAAACATTAGTTAATATTGACACAGTGCATTTTACTTCCCAAGACTTATATTTCATTTTATTATTATTATATTATTTGTTTTTACACAGTAGCTTACCATTGACACAGCTCCTGAGGTCGGGGTAAGCATTAACAGACTGCCGCGCAGCACTGAACAGGCCAGCACGGAACATGCCCAGACAACCTGTAAGATAGAAAAGACAATTGTGTCCCAGCAGCCTTCACCTGAAGTCACAGCAGCAATTACCCTAAAGTCGTCGGGATATTTCTGTTCTGATGGCTTTGAAAGAGTTAGTACTCACTGTGCCACCCTAACAGTTTCCATCTCCCCCTTTTTCCGTCAAAGTTCAAGAAAAGTCAGGTACGGTGAAGATACTTATGAACTCAGCAAGCGCTGCAGCTCTAAGCCCATGCATTGTTAACACGATGGCCAAGAAAAGACACACTGTCTTTTATGGTTGATGCTTCAAATGCGTGCTTTTCTCTTCCCTCGAGTAACAGTAATTTGGTGAATACTGAATAGCACACGATGGAGGATGTCCTTTCTGTAAATGTGTTTCTCTTTTGGGTTGATGAATAAAGAACTGTTTGGCCAATAAAGGCAGGAAGATAGGTAGGACTAGGAGATGAGGAGAATTCTGGGAAAGATAGAGAGGGACCTCGAAGAGACGCCATGTAGAGACCAGGAAGATAAGACATGCTAGGCATTCTCTGGTAGATAAGGCCATGTAGAAATACATAGATTAGTAATTATGGATTAATAATTAAGACGGAGCTAGCCAATAAGAAGTCCTAGCCATCATCCAACACTTTCATAATTAATATGTCTTTGTGTGCTTATTTGGGGCTGCAGGGCAGTGGAACCAAGCTGGAAAGAAATACCAGCCAGCAACAAGCACATGTTATATATAAATGGATTGACAGAAGTAAACAAAACATGAGTCAAAATCCCTCCCATAAACAGGAAAATTACCAACTGGGGACATATTTTAAAGTAACACTTACAGTGGATCACATGAGGTTGATATGTTACTCGGGAGAAAAAGATTAATCCAAATTTAATAGTTCCTGGTTCTGATAGTCAGGCACAGACAGAGCCTTCAGGCTTTCTGGCCTGTGATTCTCTGGCAGGCTGTGGTGTAAGAACTAGTTGCATCATATCCGAAGTGTCCTGTTCCCCTAGCACACACTGATTTAAAATAAAAAGTAAACAAAACACATACTTACCGTATTATCAAAGCAACATTGGTAAGATGAGGAACATACTTATATATTTTTTAAAAGTTATTTAACGTGTGTGTGCAAACAGATGCATGCACACTATGACAGGTGGAGAGCATAGGACAACTTTTTTGGGAGTCAGTTCTCTCTTCCTTGCTTTTGAAGATCTGATGTTATTTCAGTTGCTATACTCACTCCTGAGCTTCTAGCCCATTCCTCTATCTCTGCCTCCCGTCTCCATGTGGAGTGCTGGCTTTGCAGGCATGAACCAGCACATCTGGCTTTTTTTATTTTTTCCATGGGTCCTGGGCATTGCACTCAGGTCATCTTCCATCTGCTCAGCCATTTTACTGGCTCCTATGTGGACTTAAAATAACACAAACAAGCAAAAAAAAAAAAAAAAAGTCTGGTAGCTCTCCATTGAAGAGCCACAGTTAGGTGACTAGGTGACAACAACAACAGGTGTCCAGAATGTTCCATTTATCCCCTCCTCTTGAGGTAAGGGATTACCGCTGTTTAGCCTTAATCAAAAGAAGAGGGACTTTTGGAGGTTGACTTTTAGTTCAGTTTTTTCCTCTTCTTGCATGATGGTATTTTTGTGTTGGTACATATTTTTAGGGCTACTCATCAAAACTCTCTGGTAAAATTGAATAATTTAGTTCCAGAATGTTTCTCCAACATCTGAAACTTATTTCTTGTTAGTATTGATATGATCTGCTACAGCTAGGAAAAGCAAATTAATTCTTTCACTATGTAAACGACCCATTTCAAAATTTATCTCATTTGTATCATGGTTTACTTCTATTAAATTTTGTGATACAGGATACTGAACATCTACTGCACCAGCTCTGCTTTCAGGAGAAGGTGAGAATAAAGACTACTTGTCAACAGTTTCACCTCTTACTTTCATTTAAATAGGATTTAAAAGATCCTATTTGACATGTTCACATTTTGGTACTCTGAGATTCAATCTTGTCTTGATGTAATTTGTCTTTAAAAGCCCATTGCAGCCAGCTCTAAGCCACAGCCTTGCTAATACACAGTTGTTCATTTTTGAGAATTTTATACAATATATTTTGAGTATATTCACCTCAAATTCACCCCAACTCCTTCAAGATCCATCCCATATCTCTGTCTCACCAACATCATGTCCTCTTGTTTTATGTTAATTATAAATGAAAATATAATTACATCATCCCCCCTTTCACTTTCCTCCCTCCAATTCTCCTACCTACCCAATCCTTCATACTGTTCCCTCTCAAAATTATGGCCTAAATACATAGACACAATCTGCTCAGTTTATATAATGTTACTTATATGTATAGATTTCAGGGCTGACCACTTGGTATTGGATAGCCAATTAGTCATTTCATGCATGGAGAGGACGATTTCCTACTCTGAACAATCCTGAGTTGCCTTCAGTTCTCTGTCTATAGGTCCCCATAAGATTGACCTCTTTTATCTTAACGTGTCTATTGATATTGTATTTTTTCAGGTCTTGTTCAGAAGCCATATTGCTAGGGTATCATGTATGCAATTTCTCTAACTTCAATTAGTTCTGTCCATAAATCTCTTGCTATAGGGTCAGGCTCACCCTCTCCCAGATGCCACCAACTGCCCACAGCTCCAGAGCTAGGCATGGAGGATCATGAACCCCTCCCACTCCATGCTAGAATGTTGACTGGCTTGATCTGGGGTGCAGGCATCCTCAGTTGCTGTGAGTACATCGGTCCTGTCAAGTACAGATGATACTGCTTTGTTCCAGTACTCCCCTTTGATGTGGGATGCCCTTCTGCATTGCTTCGAATATGTGTTGCCTTTATTGGCTGATGAATAAAGCTGCTTTGGTCTATGGCAGACCAGAATATAGCTAAGTGGGGAAATCTAAGCAGAGATTCTGGGGAAAGAAGGCAGAGTTGAGAAAGATGCCAACAGCCGCCAGAGAAGCAAGATGTGAGGTAACGAGCAATGGCCTTTGTGGTAAAATATAAACTAATAGTAATGGGTTAATTTAAATGTAAGAGCTGGCCAGTAATAAGCCTGAGCCATCTGCCAAACAATTATAATTAATATTAAGCCTCTGAGTAATTATTTTATAAGCAGCTGTGGGACCAGGACACATAGGAAGACCAGAGCATGACTTAACAGGACCTTCAACTTGCAAAACTCCAGCATCAATTGTTCATTTATCAAGTCCCTCGGGCGTCACGGAGACTGCTGGCTTTACAAGCTTTTCCTATTTGCACTTCCAGTGGCAGCTATGAGGTTTCCATCCTGCAGTTTGTGGCCTGCTTCAGTTTACTTTCCATCCCTCAGACAGTTCTTCTGAAAGAAGTTTTTGATTCTTAACGTGTTGATTCAGTTTGGCCTTCTGGTGCTTAGGTCTGCTCAGAGTATTGAACATTCGACATCTATTTCCTATCTGAAAACTAATCCGGTTCCAAAATTCATCCAGGTTTCTGAAAGTAGCCATTGCAATTATTCATTAGCAATTCCAACTGCTTAGCCTTTCCTTCATGAGGCTTTGAAACTGCTGAGTGAATGAAATCTTTGACATCAACTGGAATGCCCAGTGCTAGCTCTCTGCCTTACTCACGGTAACAGAAGTGAATCTGCCACCCAGAGTGGGTTATTTCTGATGTCGTGCACATCATTCTGTTGGGAAACCATCTGACCCTCCTTTGTGTCACACGATGGAACTTCTTTTATTGGAAGGCCATTGGGATTTCTTAGCAGTTTCATTTTAACTTATTGCATGTTCTTCACTCCAAAGCAATAAGGAACCCCGAATACACTGTGTTCATTTTACTCCTGCTGTGCCAGTCTTGATAGAATAAATTTACAGACTGATACATAAGTTTGTCACCATTCAACTTCTATTGGTTGTGAGCTTTTCTTTTTCCTGAAGACACCATGTTTTTTGTATTATGCTATAAAGCCAAAGCGTGTGTTATACTTTGAACAAGAGTGTGTAGATGAGCAAATTGGGAGCATGGGGGGAGAGAGGAGGGATGTCAGAAGAGGCGGGGGGGGGGGGGGGGGGGGGGGAGGGGGGGGGGGGGGGGGGGGGGGGGGAGAAGGGAGAGAACAGGAGAGATCAGGAGGACTGAGACAGAGGAGAAATAGAGGAGGTCAAGAAGGGAGACGCCTTGTTAGAGGGAGACAGTACAGGTTTGGAAAGAGGTCTGGCACCGCGGAAATGTTGGGGAATCCAAAGGGATGACACCAACTAAGAATCTAGGCAGTGGTGGAGAGGCTGCCTTTGATGGCCTTCCCCTATCATGAGATTGATGACTACCTTGGTGGCCATTCCTAGAGCCTTCATTCAGTAGCTGTTTGAAGCAGAAGCAGGTACCCACAGCTAAACACTGAGCCATACTCCTAGAATCCAGTTGTGGAGAGGGAAGAAGGATGAGCAAAGTTTTCTACCACAATGTGCTAGAAAAACCCGCAGAAACAGTTGACCTAACCTAGTGAGAGCACAGAGACCGTAGTCATAAAGCTGGGAACCAGCATTGGATGGAGCCAAGCCCTCTGAATGGGGGTGCCAGCTAGGAGGCCAAGACAGTCTATGGGGCCTCTGACAGTGAAACCAGTGTTTATCCCTAGTGCACAAATGGACTTTGGGAGTCCATTCCCTATGGAGGGATACTATTGCAGCCCAGATACATGAAAGAGGCCCTAGGCCTTCCCCCAAATGATGTGAAGGTCCTTGATGGTCCCCCATGGAGGGCCTCACTATCCTTGGGGAGTAAATGGGGGGTGTGTTGGGGGAAGTCGGTGGGAGCATGGGAGGATGGGAGGGTGAGGGAATGGGGGATTGACATGTAAATAAGAGTTCTTCTAAAATTAAAAGGGGGGGAGAGTGTATAGATGTAACTGTGTCAAGAACACTCTGGTGCCTGGCAGCATCATTGTTATCACTGGGCAGGTCTTCAGACCATCTAAATACTGAAACTTTGGATGAAAAGTAATTCTTCCCTGAGATGTTACAAGGTGTACCTTAGATAACTTTTCTTTTTTATTCATTTTTTAAAGACTTATTGTGAAATGATGTGTATGTATCTGTGTGTGGGGATGTACAGGTGTCTGTGTATCTGTGTGTGGGGATGTACAGGTGTCTGTGTGGGATCATAGATATCAGATTCCCCTAGAACCTGAACTGAACTCAAGTCCTCCACAAGAGCAGTATATGCTCTTCATCACTGAGCCTCTCTCCAGCCCTCCCTCTAGTCTCCCATGTAGTGCAATTTGCCTTGCAACTCGTGATCCACCTGTCTCAGCCTTGTGAATGCTAAGGGATTCCAGGTGTGCATCCCACACCCGTCCTCAACCTAAACTTTCCTTTTCTGATAAGATACCAAGAGAACCCATTCATCTGCTGTACTGGCTTGCAGATCATTTGCAGACCAAATCATTTGCTTCACTATCAACCTTAAAAGAAAAGAACTGTCTGGGATTTGTTCCATTCTTTGTAAGATGTTCCTGGCACTTTTCTCACTGACTCATTTTCATCAGAAGCTTCACAGCTAGCTTTCTGTTGCAGTGCATTTATCTCCCTGAAAAGTTAAAAATCTAAAAGTCAGCTCACAGTAGACAACAGAGTCATGGAAAATAAGTTTAGGAAAGCTTCTTTCTATAGTGAAGACCCTGAATCTAAAACAAAACAAACAAACAAAAAAGGCCTGGGATTAGCAGGGAAATCTACTGTCACATAAATCTGTGTTTTCAATTTGTAGCAAAGAAACCTTCTAACTGGCAGACCAGAGCCTGATGGAATCAGCATGTAAAATTAAGTAAATAGGAGTCAGTGTTTCTGGTTGCTGCAAGCAACTTCAAGGCCTTGTAGTGTTGCATAGAGACTAGCATAATAATATTTGCATAATTCCTTAATATCACAAAACAGTTGACTCAATTCCTTTTGCTCCTGACTACAAGTTTTTGAAAGAAAGGCTTAAATGGCTATCAAACTAAGAAATAACACATGATGTACTAGAGGACTGTCATGTTATTAAGAGCTGTTTAGTTCTCCAAACATATTTCCTAATTGCCATAAAAGAAATGACATATATTACTTCTCTGCTAAAAAACTCAACAATTAGCTACCTTTTGCAGAATAACAAGACATCTCTCAAATTACTAGTCTAAATAATAGCTATTTGGGACTAGATTTTTTAGTAAAATGTCTGGAAAGCAATTGATTCATCTAACCAATGGTCTCTGTAGCATGTGGAGTTAGCCAGACTGTCTGATTAAAGTAAAAAGCCTTTGCAAGATGGGCTTTCACTCAAACATGATAGCTCATGATGTTCTGGCACCCCACCTCTACCGGCATATAGAATATCACATGTCATGATCTCTTCATGTGACTGACTGTCTTTCACTATGCTGGTCTTAAAATGGACCTTATCCCATGGCAGCTAGCATCCAAGGAGAAAGTAGGCTCTGTGAGGCCCTTTAAGAGGCATTGTATCACTGCCACCATACACTATGATGAAAGCAATTCCAGAATCCACCTAAGAATGTGTGGGTAGGGAAGATAGAATCTACCTCTGATAAGGGAGTGGAAAAATGACACATCAGAGAGCATGAGGAGCAGGAGATACTTCTGTGTCATCTTTGGAAAATGCAATCTATCAAAGATAGATTGCAAGGCTCATTTGAAGTCACTCCATATTTTAGTTTCCTGATACTCTTGCCAACCTTCTCAAAGTATGAAGTTTGCTTCTATAAATTCTTTTTGCTGTTTGCCATTTCACCTACCTTTATTCGTGTTTTCATTTCTCATTATTTGTGGCTTACTCTATTTCATTTCTTGTTTTCTGCATTTGAACACTAAGACATTTTTCAAGCCTTATGGCTTGTCTTCTCACCTTAGCTCTTAGTTACCACAGCCCTTGTCTCTCACCAGAGGACACCAGACTTCAGTCTACTGTTTGTTGTTTTAAATTTTTATTATCATTAGTGTCTAAACCCCTAGTGTTTCTCTAGAGATGATGTGAAAAAAATGAAGAAGTTTAGATGAATTCATCAGCTTGAAAGGACCTGCAGACTAAAGTGTGCTTTCCATTTATGTATTTATTTTTATCTATTTATTTATTGTGTATGTGTGTATATGTGTTTAGGAATTTAACTTAAGGTCTTATGGGTGTCGGGAGGCACTCTACCCATGAGATACATCTCCAACCCTAAAACAATGACTTCTAACATATTTTGGTCAACATATACCATTCTCCAGAAAACTTTTTCTCCATGAACAAGGTGATATTTCCAGGCAATATTTTCCAATGTCTGTATAGATGGTAAACTTATTTATCCCATTTCCTCTTGAAAAAGAGAAGGACTGGGTTCAGTCTCCAGCAGTTTATAAATTTGATTTTATAAGTTTACATATAAACACATGTGCACATAAAACTACACTTTAATAAATTCTTTAAAAACATTATCTGCTTTTATTTCTTGAAGCAGATTACATCAATTATTTCCATCTATGAGATAAAAGCCAGTGAACTCAGGGTATGTGTATTCCAAACTTAAATGTTGTAAGAGCAGCAGACAGCACAGTTAGCTGTATAAAGTGCTTTATATGGCCATAGAATTTTAAGTCTAGATGCTGTCCAAAAAGTATTGGCATCTGTGGTCTAATTGCAGAACAACCTTCTCTCCTTTTAGGAAGAGCCCAGTATAAGTTGTGGATGATTAAACTACAATAAACTGTCTTTATTGTGAACAGAATTATACAGTGCATTTTCTCTAAGGTCACTGCCCCTATGCATATCTAATGACTAAATGTGTAATTTAATGAATTTTGTTTTTCTCCTTCAACACTGGAAGTCACCACTTAAACATACAATACCAAATATAAAATTTCAATCAAAAACATTTTTGTTCCATTTCATTCTTGATGCTTCTGATAATTATACCTTACATTAGAAGAAAGATAAATAATAAATCTATTACTTATCTCCTTTACAGTCCAAGAGGTCTGAAGTTAGAAAATATAGTGATATTCTACATATAAAATATAGAAACTGGTCAGTCGGTGGTGGTGCAAGCCTTTAATCCCAGCACTGGGGAGGCAGAGTCAGGCGTATCTCTGAGAGTTCGAGACCAGCCTGGTCTACAGAGCAAGTTCCAGGACAGCCTCCTAAGCCACAGAGAAACCCTGTCTCAAAAAAAAAAAAAAAAAAAAGGAAGAAAGAAGGGAAGAAAGAGAAACCCTTTCAAACAGTTAAAAAAAAAAGTCAACAACAATCACAAAAAAGCAAAATCCAGAATATAGAATCCAAGTTACATTGCCAGCTGAAGGTTACTCTGAAACTGGAGCCCACATCTCAGATTCTGAGTTTTGTTTTGTATGTTACTCTTCTATCATGCACCAAGGAAGTCAGGGCAAGAGAAGAGAAAGTTGGATGGATCCAGAAAAGAAAAAACAATGGAATAGATAAAAGAAGAAAAGTTGTTGTTTAAGTAACCTCTTCTAAACACATAGTTCTATATTAGAACATTATCTTTATTCAAATATATTGTGATCAAAGAAGGTATCTTTTATACTGTTGCTCAAAAATACCATATCATTACATGGCCCTAAGAAACAAGGTTAATGTAACTTTACAATTTTGGTAGCTAAGCAGTATCTCTTTTATTATGGAATATTTAAATTCCCATTTAATATGAGAGGCTGGAACAGTCCTGATGACCTATCCTTTCTCAATAACTTCAGTAATGTAAATCTTGGCTTTTTTTTAAAAAAAAAAAAGTGATGACTCGTTATATATACAGAGAGATCCTTTCATGGATGAATGCTTTTCTCCATTCCCTACCCTTGAAAATGTAAAAGCAAAGGAATTTATAAAATCCTGTTTCAATTTGTATCTGCAGACACAAATAACACCACCTCCTAATGTACATATACCACATTATTGGCAGTTTAGAATCTGAAACAGTATGAATGGGATACTTTTAGGAGTGATGAGAAGATGTCACAAAGAGAGGACTGTGAATGACTTCTACAAATGGCCAGGTGACTATTGTGTACATCATACTATTTGATGAGGTTAGATACCTTTTGTTTCATGAAAGATAGTCCATGTGTACATATTTGTGCATAATGTCTGACTACCTGAATATAATTGGCATCAGCCTAAAGTTGCTTTAGAAGAAAGACATGGAAAACTGAAAGTTGATGTGCAGCATAATAAAAAGCCATACGAAATTATTGTACATGACTTTAAATACATGAACATCATAGTTCTTAACATCTTCTCAAGGGTGCTAAAACAATAATGGATGTGTATTTGGCAGAAAGTGAGGTTTAAACATATCTAAGTTTCCTTCAATTTCTAAGATTTTATGTTACAGATACTTAGAACTTACCCAAATATTTTGGATAAAAATAATCCTAGAAAGAAAATAAAAAAATAGATATTAGCAAACTCAAATATCACTACAGAGTTAAAGATTAATTTTTCTAATTTGCTTTTATATGAATATGGAAATGACCTACATGTTGTATGTTTTCACATTTCTAATTTTTCTATAAATACTTCAAGAATAGATAGCCAATACTTGACCAGTATACATATACATATATATAAACACATATATGTTTGTGTGTATACATATATATGCTTAAAACACTACTGAACAATAAAATAACATTTTAAAGCTTCTGATTTGAACTGGTTGTAGTTGATAACTATAACAATATATTCCCTCTTTTATAATCCTCTAATTTTTTCATGGCAATTAAACATAGACTTTTCTTACAGGGTCTCTCGAGACACCCTCTATCTACCTTGGAACTCACTATGTAGACCAGGTCCACCTGAAACTCACAGCAATCCATGTTCCTCTGCCTCTGTGTGCTGGGACTGAAGGTATGCACCACCACACCTAGTCTTCATTTGATACATCTTATGCCATGATGACTATCTACACTGGAGTCAACAATGAAATCATTTAAAGAGAACTAAAATGACCACTTACCTTATTGCATCTAATGCATGTGAAACACCTTCCTTATATATTGATGGATAGCAAAATAATGATGACATATGGATGAAGGAATGTATTTTATGAACAGGGTAATTTTTATGAGCTTCTGACAGTACACTCATAATGTAAATAAATAACACAAGAATATTTCATACAAAAACAAAATTTCTGCATAAAAAGTATTCAAAATTCTGGCTTAGAGTGGAGCTTGGCTTTTTCTACATCAAAATCTACACTCTTTCCTCTTATCATGTACAAACTTGCACGTTTCTACTGGCTTATAAGAAAGGGGCCTGACACTGACTCATTCAGACAACAGTGTTGTTTACTGCAGAAGCAGAGACAAGACAATAAGGAGACAAACAATGGCATTTAAAGATTGGTGACATGCTGATGACAAGCGAACAGGTAAACATCAGGGTCAATAACACTGGGAATACTGGCCTAAGAGTATGAGGGATATGGACAGGGAGTAGGTGGAATCTGTCAACAAAACTATTAGTGAAGGTAAAGAAACACGAATGTGTTTTCCTTCTTCACCTTCCTCCCCCTTCTTCCTGTGGTCCATCTTCCCTCCCTACTACTCTTTAAAGGCTGAGCTTTGAGAACATATCTACAATGCAGATATACAACTCAAGTATGGGTAATATAATCATGTGACTTGATTGCTCAAAGCAAAACCATTGATTAGATGTGGTGGATAGGCAAAATCAAATGAAAGCCTTGATCTTATTAGAGGGACGTGTTGTGTTGCAGTTTATTATACCATTCTTTCTACTTTTTAAACTTTCCATAAAGGGAAGGAATATATGCACATATCTAATACATACTGTATTCTTTTGTATTATGGAAGTTTGTAAGAGTGCATACACATTCCTTTTTAGAATGAGAATGTAAAACATAGAATACATATGTTAAATCCTACCCAATAAATTTATTACATTGTGTAGGATAGAAAATTTTCTATTGTTGTTGTCTGTGCTGGCTAATTTTATGTCAACTTGATACAAGCTAGAATCATTTGAGAGGAAGGAATCTCAAGGAGAAAAATGCTTCCTTAAAATAGGCCTGGCAGTGGTGACACAAGCCTTTAATCCCAGCACTAGGGAGGCAAAGGCAGGTGGATCTTTGTGACTTCGAGGCCAACCTGGTCTACAGAGTGAGTTCCAGGACAGGCTCCAAAGCTATACAGACAAACCCTGTCTCGAAAACAAACAAACAAACAAACAAACAAACAAACAAAAAAGAATTGTAGACAGACCTGTAGGGAATTTTCTTAATCAGAGATCCCTGGGGAAGGGCCCAACCCATTGCAGGTGATGGTACTTTTGTGACGGTGGCCCTGGGTTCTATAAGAAAACAAGCTGAGCAAGCCATGAGGAGCAGACCAGTAAGCAGCACTCCTCCATGCCTCTGCATCAGCTCCTGCCTCCAGGTTCCCACCTGGTTTGAGCTCCTACTTTTGCTTCCCTCAATTCAGGTTAGTAAACCAAAAAAAAAAAAAAAAACCCTTTCCTCCTGAGTTGTTTTTTTGATCAAGGTATTTCGTCACATTTTTGTCTCAATTCTAGGTAGATTAAAATTTAATTGTTGCATATTTGGGGAAAATTTCTTCTTTGAACCTATCAGAACACATAGGGATTAAAAAAGAGCTACAATAACAACCACAGACCACAAGTAGCTACAGTTGGGGACAAATTTTCTAAGTATGGACAAAGAGTCCTTGCTCTTTATCACTCAGCTGTTGTCATGGTTCTGGGAGCTGTGGCAGAGGCAAAGGAGGAGCCTTGTGTATGTCATCTCTTTCTTTTCCTCCAGATTGTATAATTCAGCTCAGGTAGAACATCTGAGGAGACCCTGAACAGTGTTCCATGTAGACTCTCAAGGTCATGCTCAAAGTGCTCCTTGGAGATATTAATGCTACTCCTGTTAGTTACAAGCATACTATAAATTGCCCTCTCCTGAAACACAGAATGGACAAAGAGTCCCATGTTGCTGTCTTTATGTTATGTTTGGCGGGTGGGTAACTTGGAAATTTTTAGACACTAATGATTACTGCTGATTATCAGTGGCCTCGGGAAACTTCATGAAGGTTACAGAATAGTATACAGTCAGCATACATAATGCTGTAATGACTAATCTCAGTTAGGTGGCCCCATTTCTATCTAGAGCCTCTTAAAGATAAATGGCAAGACACACCAGTCTATAATCACAGTACTTGGGAGGCTGAAGCCAAAGCAGATGGATAGGGAGCTCCTTGTAGTTGGAGCTACAGAGTAAGAGACTGTCTCAAACACAATCAACCAAAACAAAAGCACAGTGACAATGCAAGTACATATATGGTCACTTACCCTTCAGTCGCATCTTCTCTTGCACCCTCAAGGCTACCAGATTTGGTTAGGATAATAAAATAGTCACACATTATAAAGTCGATACTAGTTGCGAGTAATGAGACTTAAGGGAAATGGAGTTTGGCTGGAGTGCCTGTCATTGGCAGCCTGCCTGAAATGTCAGTGGTAACACATGAGAAATGAACTCCTAAGTCATTAGCTTTCAAACAGAAGCAAGGTAGCTCAAGCTGGCAGTGTTCTGACTGCCAATATATATCCGAGTGTGGACTTGGTCATTTCCACGAACTCTTACCGTTTCGGGATTGTTTTCAAAGACCTCCCTGGCTTCCTCTTTATTGCAGAGCTCTTCGATGCATTCTCTTTCAAGATTGCCCTTTTTAGTTTCTTCAAGCAAGGTATTTGCGCGGCGCTTCCTCACCAGGACTTGCGAGGCATGTTCTTTTGACAAAACTGTAGAAAACATAAGCTTTTATATAAGTCAAAAAAAGACCTTCATTTTTTCCCTAAGATATATCATCTTATTAAACAATTAAGGGTGAATTAATTTTCTTTGTGATAGTAAAACTAGAGCTTAGAAAATACATAGCTATGTAAGCCCTTTGGTTAACAACTCCCCAAGCAGATCAGTGCATGCCTGACTGTGCAGCTAGCTATAGCTGTTTTGTGTGAGCTGTACAATTTATCCAGTTCATGCTTGAGACCAGCATAATCCATAGCTTCATGCAAATATTTGTCCTTATACCCACAAGATAGTCTTTACACATCGTCAAAGCAACTACTCCTTCTCGTTGCAACACATAGAGACCGTTACAGAAAACCACAAGTAATCAAAATGCAGACATGTGGAGCCTAGTCCCAATGGATACAGACACAAAACAACTTCAGCACCTAAGGCTCAGACAACATGGTGAAACAGTGTGGAAAGATTGTAAGAACCAGAGGACTGGGGAGTTTGCTGAGACTGTGTTGCTTAGCAATGTCAGAAGCTACATCCATAAAGCCTCATCAGCATGACTACATAAACATGAGCTGAACAAGGATGGCCATGGACATGCAGAAGCAGACAGGGGAAAGACCAAGAGACCTCAACCTTAAACAAAATCCTACAGTCAACAAAGGAATGCTAAGCATGATACAAATACTCTGCCCCTTCATAGGGCACACCATTGGTTATCCACTACCAAATGATCAGCATTGAAAACACACATGCAAGTAACATTATACAAACTGAACTGGTTATACTTATGTGTAGGGATATACATGTAATGATATGTCATTTAAAGGGGCCAATAAAATTGAAAGAGGAGTATATGGGAGAGTCTGGAGGCAGGGAACAAGGGTAAATGATGTTATTTATTAAATATGGGCAAGAAGTAATGCTGCTTTAGGTTTCTTCTAAAAGAGAAATGTAAATACAATAGTTTGGGTTGTATTTTTAACTCTTATCTCTTTCCATTTCATTGACACTCATTAAAAGATAAAATTCAAACAAGGCTTTGTGTGCATAAAGGATAACGATGAGCGTGCTACCTGCCAAGTGGATTACTGGCTGATAAATGGCAGCACTGTCAATAATCCGTGTCCTACATGAGCAGCTGTTTCACTACTTGGAAGTGTTTAAGCATGCTATTTGTAATAAATACAGGAAAATAATATGGAATTCATGAACTTCAAATAAATATATAATTCTGTCTGAGGAAAATAGTAATATTTTCTCAGAACAATGAAAATGTGGCCTCAATAACAGCAACAACAACAAAAAGTCAAGGTTAACTACATTTAAAAACATACTATTCACTTCCCAGCATTCTTCCACTAAGCTTGTGGACCAAGCAGCAAGATGGTTCAGTGGGTAAGAGCATTTTATACATGCATCTGTCTGATTTGATTTGACCTGACTCTGACCACAAGAATCTACAGAAAGGTAGAAAAAGAGAATGCTGTACTCTGGACTTCACATGTGTGCTATGGCATGCACACACACACACACACACACACACACACACACACACACACACACACACACACCATAAACACATATACACATAATCATATTTCTTAAAAGAATACTGACCTTGGGCTCAGGGATCATCACAGAAGATAGGGGCAGAAAGAATGTAAGAATGTAACCTTGAGGTAAATGTTGTCTTAGGAGCATGACATAACCAAGCCACTCATGGATTTACAGCAAAAGGAGTTGCCAATGGAGGATCTTGCTCTATGTGACAATCCAAGGGAACAACTGACAACTTGAGCTGTGCTCACTTGCAAAATATATCACAGCTGGCTAGTTGACTGTAGAGGGGCTTGGGGAATTTCCATATCACCTCTTATATGTATTTCTGCCCAAATTTCACTTGGTCTTAGAAAAAAGCTACAATATATAGGACACAAAAACTGGGAGAAGGGGTGGGGTTCCATATACAAAGCTGTGGGAAAGCTGGTAAACACTTTCTGAGTCTTTTGGGGGTAACATTCACAGCACTATAGGTACTGTGATCTCTCAGTGAGGCTAATAAAACTCATTTGTTCTCCAAATAAACTTTGGTGGAATTCTCTGTCAGTTTGTGCTTAGGAGTTTAGGAGGAGGAGTTAGGATAGACACAGTTTAAGTCTGCCAGAAATAAGGAATATTTTGCAACAGATTTATACAAGACTGAGCCCTTAAATATTCAGTGATAGATGCAGGTGGGGCTCATTGGACCATCATGATCAGGGGAACTTTTGGTAGCCACAAGGGATAAGAAGTCATTGTTTTCAATGCTGAAGCGACTGGTGATGCTTCAGTACATAGCTCCTTATACATGTTCACCTGGGCAGTCCTAGTTAAACCCAGTGAGTGATGAAGAGAAGCAAAAAAAGTCATGAAAGTGGGATGGTGACTTGCTGGGAGAAAGGAGAGATGGTGTTTGTGGAAGTAAGAGCCAGTTAAGAGAGGGTGGGGGATGAGTGTAACCAAAATGTGATATATATATTTATACATATATGTGTGTGTGTGTGTGTGTGTGTGTGTGTGTGTGTGTGTGTGTGTGTACACGTATATACACAGATGAAACTGTGGAAGAATAAATTAATTTAGAAATGCTAAGTTCAGCAATGAAGAGTTTCATATTAATATTTAAAGGAGAGCATGACTGAACTTTTTCCCAGCAACCTCCAGGTCTTTCCATCCAAACCCTCCTCAACAGTCAGGAGTAGATTTCAGGTGGAGGAGTATCCAACTTCTAGAAGGACTCATATAAAGCTCTTCCAGTTTGGTGCTTTGTCTAGCAAAGATGGCTGTCCATTCCTTCTTCCAAAAGCTTGCTTCTCTATTAGGTTTGCCTTCTGTCCCTTTCTCTGGGTACTTTTTATTGGGCATCCTAAGAATGAAAAACTGCTCATGGAAGAATGTGAGTGAGAGGAGAATCTTGGCAGTGTTCATATCTGTGTTTGTGATTCAGTGTTGCATGCAAAATGAAAATGCCTTTTCACTATACAAACAGAACAGCCACTTGACACTTGGACATTGTACTTCACATGGCTTAAATAGTTGAACCAGTGTGTTTTCCTTAAAGCTTATGACAACCAAAATCGCATTAGCACACAACAATTTTGAGTCAATAATGATGAGTGGACATGAAAAAAGTTCATTAACAATAATTAGATTTAAACTATAAATATTTTTATTTCTTTGCATAAATATTTCATGAGAGTTCTGTTTGGCAGTGTGGAGAATGTTTTGAAAATGTGGCTTTTGCAAGAATTAAGAAAAATCCAAAGATAAACATTCTTAAGTAGGCTTTTCATCCCTTTAAATTATTACCAAATTTCAGGAAAGCTTGCCCAGCTTTCCCAAAGAAACACTGTGCTTAATATGCATCTTATACTTTAACCTTGCCAAAAACAGTATTTTTTTTTGAATGAGGGGTGTTGTACTTGCTTCCTCTTTCAAACATTTTGTTTGATATTTTATATTATGCTGCCGAGGAGGCATTTCTTCTCATATAACTGTGCCAATGGTTTAAAACCTATTCTGGAAATGTAAGCCATATATTAGGGCTTCAAAAAAATGAAACCATACAAAAGCTGATAATAAACATTTTTAAAGGATTAAATATCACAAGATAGGTTTGGGTTAGGATTTGAATCTGGGATGTGAGGGAAAAAATGCAAAGAGGAGATGATTCTATGTGGTGTATGCAAATGTGACACCAAATCATTTGAATAGAGGGGTGAAACTAGATTTTTTTTTTTCTATTTTGAAATAGAGGAGCCATGGGTGTTAGTTAAAAATGTGACCACTGACCTTCACTCTGGAACAATCAGTGACTGACTGAGCATAGACGCAACATCTGGAGTGTTTGTCCACAACAGAAGTGAAGTGGGCTTCTCCTGGCTCCAGGATTTAACTATTACTTTAATTTACAGCCTCTATTCTACAGGGAAATGGAATAAATCACTGTGGTTGTCTTCTCAAGATTGGAGCCTTTGATTGAACCAGGGAGAGATGAAGCAGTAAAAGCTAATTGTTCACTCCCAGGTGGCAAACTTGTTACTCAGAAAAGAAAACGAGAGAGAGAGAGAGAGAGAGAGAGAGAGAGAGAGAGAGGGAGAGAGAACAACAACACTATTATATTGTGCATTTCTTTAGTCGAGAGACTAATGAAGATACTTTATTTGAAGAGATTTGAAGTTCTGAATTTGGTAAGGTATGACAGAAACTTTCTCTAGGCCTTGCTGTTCTCCCAACTGCTATGCTTTAACTCCACGAAGTCACGACAGGAGCCCCTTGGATGGCTACAGTAAGATAGCTGCACAGTCAGCTTCCAGGCCACTCTAATCTCCTGCCCACTGGGAACACCAAAACAGGACCTGATTTTGACGTCATGTATCAAGGAGTGCACACAAGAAAAATATTTTGTCTTTGTTCTCTTTGACCTATTTTATTAAGATGGCATCAGTACTATTAGTTCACTGGCCTGTGTCTGCGCTTCTGTCTGGACAAATAACGGGCTGACTGTTTGGGGACACGAGAGTCAACACTGAAGAGCTGGCCTCATTTTGTAATGTTCCACTCCTTGCAGCCTCCCACAGATCACTGAAATCAAGTGATTTTGTGTATGAAGTGTGTGCTTAGAGGAGGCTCGCAGGGGCCTGGGGTGCTGCTCAGGGATGGAGCATGCCCTTAGCAGTGCCAAATCCTCCCGGGTTCTTTCCCCAGGTCAGCTAATTAAAAAGAACTCCAACTTAATGTGCAACTTATGAGCTCTGGATTTGGTCAAAACACATACACAAAAAGAGAGTATAAAAAGAACCACAGTGCTCAGTGGTTTCCCTTTGACTCTTAGCATGTTATTGGCCTTTCAAAGTACACACATGCCAGGAAAGCTTTGGAATACCGATTGATCGTCAACTAGATGTTTACCATTCAGTACAATTTCTATCAGAACCTCAGAATTCCCTGTGGA